AGTTGCAGACATTTCTTCAGTTGTTAGTGAACATATGGTGGACATATGCTGGTGGACATATGCATTTCTTTGGACGCTATTGAAAATTTTTTGGATACGTTTGGATAAGATGGAAACACAGGACATTTTTGGATAAATTTGGAGACATTGGATTTCTCTGGACAAATTTGGATTATTTTGGATATTTTCCAAGATTTTATCCAAAAACATTGGCAAAGTGTCGTCAGGGTTAAAACCGCGAGGGAATAAGTGTTCTTTTAGTGCCCAAAGATGCATCGAACGTGTGCTACTCCAGGATACAGGTCTGGGATAGGTTGTGAATATCCGCAGTAAGTTTAAAAAAGCTTTTTTAATTATTTAAATTAAAATTTCTAATTTTCAATGATTTTTTAAAATTGTTTAGTGATTTAAATTTTTAATTTTTAAATACATTTTTTTTATTTTATCAAATTTTAAATAACTTTTTTTATTTTAAAATAATTTTAAATAATTATATTTTTTCCAACTTTCAATAATTTTATTTTAATTTTTTTAAAATTTGAATAATTTTATTTTAATCTTTTTAAATCTTAAATAATTTTATTTACATTTTTTCAAAATTTAAATGTTTTTATTCTCATTTTCTGTCCGGTTTATAAAAAACAAAAATTAAATTTTTTTGAAAAGTTAATTTTTTTCTGAGAGTGAGAGAGACAAATGATTAAATTTCCAAGAAATATGACGTCATAATCTCCTCAACGTCACTGCTATTGTCCTGTTTATTTCCTGGGATCTTTTCTCCTTTTTATTACCTTTTGCAAAGGTCCCTCCCTTCTCAAATTTAACTGGACTTATACCTCATTTTTTGCAAAGGTCTGAATGACAATATTAGTTGAGTGAATTTTATTTTATATTAATTTGTCCATCAGGAAGGTGTTTTTGTCTACGGATTGTATTTGGACTAAATTAAACTTAATGAAACTAAATTAAATTAAACTAATATAAATTAAAGTAAATTAAAGTACTAAATTAAATGGAAATTAAAATGATTACATTTCAAAATTAAGTAAACCTTGCTAATGAATTAATTAAAAAAGTAATTAAACTTCAATTTAAAATTAATGATAATTGAATTAGTAAATTTCTTTTACTAAAAATTCAAATTCTATAATTTAGTGTCCAGTTTACAAGAAACCAATGAGAACTTATAATTTGCTAATAACGCCGCTATGGTTAGAAACAATAAAACCTCCCGAATATTGGATTTTACGTGGAGTTGCATTGCTCTGTGACACGAAATAATTCACGTATTTAAAATTTTCTCAAAATTTATTAGAAAAAATTTTTTTTTCAATTTAAGAAATTAAAAGAACAATTTTTTTCGGAGTATTTAAAAGTTAAACGTACAATTTTTCATGAATTAAAACTTTATGTACAATTTTCCATGACTGATAAATAAGTCTACTACAAATTTTATAAATGTAAACAATAAATGTAAAATTTTTCATAGATTATTTAAAAAGTAAATGTGCACAATTTTTTCGAAGTTTGTAAAAATTAAATGTACAATGTTTCGCAAAGTATTTATCACATGATTAAATAAAAAAAAATTCAAAATTATAATTGCAGAGACAATATCAATATTCTTAAAATTAATAATTATACAATAAATTCTGAAATTAACAGAGTTAAAGACATTGGTAAGAATGGTAACAGTCTCTATATTTTACAATTAATAAAAAATTTAATTATAACAGAATTCGTTTGAAGAATTTTGTTATTCAGGAAAATAATTGAATTCTCGTGAAGAATTTTGTTAAAATTTTTGAAAATTCTAATTAAATTCTTGTTGAAGAATTTCTTTGATTTTTTTATATAGTGGAGTTTCTTTAATAATTTTAATTAAACATTTTGAAAGTAATTGAATTTTATGAACAATTTCTTTTAAGTTTTTAAAATAATCGTATTTGCTATAAATTGAAATTAAACATTTAATTATTGGATTTTAAAAAAATTTTATTATTTCTAAAGATTAGAATTCTTTTAATTCTTCAAATATTATCTAAAATTTCAGCTAAAATTTTTTTTTTAATACATTCTTATCAACAAGTTCTACAAGAATTTAATTATTTAAATAATAATTCTTTTTTAAATCAATTATAATCAAAAAGTTCTTCGAAAATTCAATAATAATAATAATAATAAATTATAAATAATAATACATAAATATTTATCATACTCACAAACAGTCATATGAGTTAAACATACACTGACTTATATAGTAGTATTACAGGTAGGATTAATATCTAAAAATTTATCGCAAGTTTCGTAAGGAGCGATCACATCAGATAAGACACCATCAATGCATCGATAGCAAATAATACAATTGACTGAAACAAAAGAAAATATGATTAAACTAAATTTCAATAATCAAAATAAATTTCATAAACAAAATTTAAAGAAATCACTTTTAAGTACATAATTAATTTCTATTGTTTATATTTTCAAAAATTAAAATATAATTCACCGCAGGAATTGAATTATTTTGAATATATACAGTTTTAATAAAATTTCACGAAAGAATTCAATTATTTTCTAAATTTTTAATAAATCCATTAAAACAATTCAATTATTTTCAATTATTTTAATTTTTCCCTTCTCGTTTCCTGCGGGTTATTGAAAATCTTTTTTTCTGTAAAATTAAGGTATTTAAATTTTTTTTATAAAATTATTGAAAAAATTAAATTATTTTTTATACAATTTAAAAACTAATTTTTCAGAATTTTAAATACAATTTCTTTAAAGAATTGAACTATATTGAAAAATTTTGATTAAATTCTTCACAAAATTTCAATTATTCAAATAAATAATTCAAATAAATACAATTATTTTTAAAAATGTTAAATAAACTTCAATTTTTTTCAACAGTTTTCATAAAATTTTTAAGAAAAATTAATTATTTTTAAACGTTTTAATAAAAGTTTTCGATTGAATGCAACTTATTTTCAAAATTTTTTATAAAATTCTTGCAAAACATTCAATTATTTCCAAAAATTATGATAAACTTCTTGAAAACAATTCAATTATTTTTATAAACTGTAAAATTCTACGCAAGAATTCAATGATTTTCATTACAATAATTTTAAAATTAAAAACATTCTATTATTGAAATTAATAGATTATGCGTAGATTAAGAATTCTGTGACTTGCCATCTTTAAGAAGATGTTTCTGTTGAACAGGTCGTCTGGAATTCCTCCACAGCATCCTCTTCCAAAAACGCTCACTTTCCGTTGCGGCAAAAACATTTACATCACTCCAGGTATAAGTGATTTTATCGGATGCATCATTTGGATTAATTTTTTCCGATGTTGAGCCTTGCATCGGTTCCATTTGCAATGAGGCCTCAGGTGTTCGAGTTTGAGACGTTATCCCGAGGTGAGCATCCTTTAAAATAATTCAACAATGAAAATTCTACACAATTTTTATTACCAATAATTATAAATATTTTTCAAAAAAGAAAAACGTTATTAATAGTTTGCAAAATAGAAATAATTATAAATATTTTTAGAATTAATCACTTTCGTTTTTTAAAAATTAATTTTTAAAATCAATTTCATTTTTTTATTAGAATAATTTTAAATATTTTTATAATAATCATATTCCTTTTTAAAAATTAATTCCATAACTTTTATTTTTGGAACAATTAAAATACAAATAATTAAGATACAAAGTTGGCAATGACTACTTGTTATGTCAAACAAGAGAGACATTTTTCATGTGGTCAGATGCACTGAGTGAAAAATAATTTATGGGTTAACCACGTAAAAATTACATTTTCACTTGAGCAATAAAAATTAAATTTATTGTCCACCATAACTCTGGTTAACCGTTAGATTTTTATTTTCTGAAATTCTAATTATTTATTTATTTTGTTTTTTTTGTAACATATTTGAGAGATTTTAATATAAAAGAATTTTAAAATACTTTTAAATTTATTTTCCTTTTAATTTTAAATTTACTTAATATTTAAAATAAATACTAAAATAACTAAATAATAATTTGCTTCAATTTATTCTACTTTTATAAAAAATTAAATTTTAAACTTGAATTATTGAATAATTTTTATTTATTTCTATAAAGAAAGAAACAAGAGTTTATTGACATTTCTGAATTATTTGAGTCGGTGTTAAATTTCTGGTGTGAAGCCAAAATGATGCTAAATACCATTATTCTTGCTAGGGTTTCAAACAGTCTGTTCGTCCCCTTTATATTACTCTTTAAATAAGAAATATTTATTATGATTACTAATTCTCAATGTTTCCCAATTATTATATTCTTTTATTGTCAATTATTCGGAATAAATAATTCTTTTCTCTTGAAGAAAATTTCTGGATAAAAATATTTTTTTTTTTTTTTTGAATTAATATTGAGTAAATTTATATAAATCAATATTATATTTCGATTTTTTAACATAGAAAAACTCAAGGTAAAATCCAGTTATACAGGAATATTTTAAAAATCCAGAAGATTTATCACGTAATTGATGCAATTCAATATATGTGGTTAGATTACGTGTTAAGAAAAAATTCTTTCGAGTCAGTTTATAGCTTAAAATATAACAAATACAATAAATTTTTGTTAATACAAGAGGAATAAATTTAAAATTTTTAAATTAATTGAAAAAAATAAATTAAAACTTAACTTTATGCAAAAATTATTTTTTAAATAAATTTTTCACTTTATTTTACTAGTATTAATTAGATATTTTTTAATTAAATATATTAAATATTTAAATAATAAATATGAATATTAATCATAATCATAATATGAATCAGAAAGAAATAGGAAATTTGTACACTTGGAGATAGTAATTCATAAAAAAAAATTTATACTCACAAATATAACTGAATGATAGGAAACTCTTTCGTGGCCAATTGAAGTTGATGTTGATGGTATTAAGGGTTTCTTTTCGTCACTGGCCTCCACTTTGATTGTTCCTATTGTTTTCTTTTAAAAATTAGTAAAGATATAAATAGCTGTGATATTTATTTAAAACGAAAATTCAATTTGCAGTGCGACTTAATTCTTCCTCATGGGAATTCAATCCCATTCATTCCTCAGATAGAATTTTAAACCACTTCCTGTACGTTATGTTCGATAATTTCCTGGTGTATTTGTAGCAACTTTGTTTCTTTTTTTAAACAAAATACATTTTTTTTTATTTAACGAGAGCATTATTAATATAGATCAACAAACAATTAACTTATCAATTAAAATTATTTCATCAACTCTAGATTTTTAAGTTTGAAACAAAAAGTCGATTTTATGAGTATAAAAAAGTAATTTCCTTGAAATATTTTACTTAAGTCTGAAGTTTCTTTAAAATTAGATAAAAATAGATTTTGCAAATAAATAAATAAATGAATTTTTAAATTTTTGCAAATGTTGAAAAAAAAATACACGTGGACTGCGGTCTTACTAAAAACGATGAGAGGTCTACAATCGCGACGAGAGTTGCACTGAAACTGAACCTTTTGCGAAGAGGAGGAAAGACTTGCGCTACCTGTTTATACAATCAAAAATTTATTTAGATAAAAAAGATTCTTCTTTTTCATTCGAAGAAAACTCTCTCTCTCTCTCTCTCTCTCTCTTTCCGATTGTCAAATATTGGCAAACTGGAGCAAAAACAAATTTAGAAAAAAACAAATTAAATTAAATTGAAGGAAAATATTATTCAAATACAAAAATTATTCAACTGTAGAGAAAAATTTGTATGCATAGTGAAATATTTCAGAAATATGAAAAATTTAATTTTTGTTTAATAGGTTTTTTTTTCTTTATAAATAGATAGTAAATAAATATTTCACAAAGAATTTTTTTTAATTGCTGTTACTTAATATTTATTATTTTAATAATTACTTCCAAATTTTGGCACTAATTTTAAAAATTAAATTCTTTTTTCAGAAACAATTAAAAAATGGATCCATCGATCCATGCGGAGAACATTAGCATGAAAATTTAAGGGAGAAGGAGAAATTTTCAATTCGAATCCAGTATTTTCTGAAAGGTAATATAAAAATTATTAGCATTATTATTTTTAGTATTATTATTTTTAGTATTATTATTTTTATTATAATTATGTCAAGAAAAATTTATAAATTACATTATTTTTTACCACTTTTCGTTAATAAGCATTTTTTATTTATTTTAAAAGATGAAATTTTTTTTTAAATATTAGAATTTTTTTAACTAACAATATTTAAAAAATGTTAGAAAATAATTGAATTCTTTCAAAGAATTTTATTAATATTTTAAGACCTAATAAATAATGATAATATTTAAATAGTTAGTAAGTGAATTTTTAAAAATTTTGAATCTGAAATCATTTAAAAATTGAAATTTGAAATTAAATAAATGTGAAATTTACATAATAATAATAATAATAAATTAAATACCACAAATAACATTTGCTATTTGAAATTAAATATTTTTAGTTAATAATTATAAGGGTAATAATTATTAAATAAAAATAAATGACAAATGGACAATAAAATACATACTTATGTAAATTTTTAAAGAACCAAAAGTAATTCCAACGTATAAAAATTTGGCGGCCCTGAAAAGGGCCATTTTTTTGTGAATTAGTGAATTAGTAATTAATAATTATTAATGAATTCTACGAACTCATATTATATATTAAATATTTATATATTAAATATGAAAAAATACTTGGTATAATAAATAATTAAGAATTTAGGAAAATTCATAAAAGAAATATTTCGGCATACAAAATTCCACAATTGAGATACCAAATATTGTGCGAAATTTTGATTTATTTTTATTTATTTTTGTTATAATTTTTTAAAGCTTTACCTCCTTCGCTCATTGCATGTTTAGCCAATTCGCCAGGAAAAAGTAATTTCACTGCCGTTTGTATTTCTCTTGATCCTAATGTTTTTGTCTGATTTTTCTTACAAAGTTCAGCAGCTTCCCTTGCAATACGTTCGAATATGTCCACCATAAAATCATTTATTACTGCCATAGCTTTGGTTGATATGCTGGATTCTTCGTTTATTTGTTTAAAAACTTTGTAAATGTAGATACTGTAGTTGTTTGTTTTCTTTTTTTTAGGTTGTGCACGATGATGTCCACTAGTGGATGCTGCACTATCTTGTTTATTTGATGTTGTCATTTTCTTTTTAGCTTTTTTTGGTGGTGGTGATTCTTTGGTTTTTTTCATTTTTCTCTTCATTTCTTGTTTTTTCACAACTACTGGTGGTAGTGCTGCTGCTGAAGATGCTTCATCAGATTCTTCGGATTCATTTTCAGACTTTGAGTTTTCTGAGCTTGAATCATTTTTACTGCATTCGTCATCCTCTTTCATTACTTCAACTTCTTCAACATTCTTTTTAATGTTCGGCATTTTCTTCTTTAATATTTATTCACTTAAAATTGATTTATTTATTTATTTATACTGTTCTATTAATTATTATTTATATGTTTAGTTATAAATTTTATTTATACTTTTAGTTACACTTTTTATTTATACTTTTAGTTTCACTTTTTATTTATACATTTAATGTTTATTTAGACGATGCAAAATTAAATTCTCTTTTAGAGACAATAATTAAAATTAATTTTCACATTCAGGGACAAGACAGTAATGAGAAGTTCCCAAAATTGAAGGAATATTTATGGACGAAATCTGAGGGAGGAGCAAAGTTTTCAATTCAAGCGAATCAAAATATTTTGCTCTTTCATTCGTCGCGTTATTCGTCGATTTTCGAATCTAAAAGGTAATTATTGAAATCATTCTCAGGCTCGTAGGGGAAAATTTGCTTAAATATTTTTGGTATTTTTAATTTCAATAACTTATTTTAATATTTTAATTTTAATATTGATTAATCTTTCTATTTTTTATTTAATCCTTTAATTTTTATTTTGAAATATCTACCTTAATATTATCAATATTTTGTTTATTGATAATTGTTAAATTAATTTTTATAGCGATTGAAATATCGAAAATAAAAGAGAAACGTTATTTTGATGGAGTGAATTTCTACTCATTTCATAGTTGACGTTTTGATAAAAATGTTTTTGAAAAGAAAGATGAAAAACTTTGGAACGTGAAATAATATTTAATTAATATTCTTTAAATTCTAAAAAACATTTAAAAAAATTTTAGAAAAGAGAAAAAAAAATGTCAAATATTTCGCATAATTTAGAGCGTGATTATTCATTGCCAATAATAGAAAATGAATATCCTGACTTTCCGGAAAGAAGAGCAGAGTCACTTTTTTTGGAAAATACTAAGCAACGTTTGGTGGATACAATTTTTTTTCAATTAAACAAATTTACTTGTTCATTTACTTTTGTTTAGTGTTGATTTTTCAATTTCGAAAATTTCTATTTTTAATTGTTTTCCGTTTTATTTTAAAATAAATAGAAATCATAATTAATTATACAGGATTAATTATTAATTAACGGAAAATATATTCAAATAGATAAAATACAGAAAACTTCGGAACGAAAGACAAGAATTGTTATTGAAAAATCAATCTTATTCGCATGTTTTGGATGTGATTGGTACTATTTTAAATATCGAATTTTCATCAGTGGTCGAAGGAATTATTGATAAGGATGAATATATAGATTCTTTTCTTGATTTTTTCAAAAAAGGTGGAAGACAAATAATTGCCTTGCAATTGCAACAAGTGTCTCCACCTTCCTTTGGTAATTGAACAATTTTAATTTCTTTTTCTCCATTTATTTAATGAAATAGATCATTTTTAAATTTATTTTCTGCGTTTGTATTTAAATTAAAAAATTTGTTTTCTTTATTTTCATTATTTTGTTTGAATATTCAATTCAATTAAAATGAAATTGAGAGGAAATTATGAAAATATATTTATTTTCTTTATTTTGTTTGAATATCAATTCAATTTAAATAAAAGAATGAAAATATATTTATTTTCTTTATTTTGTTTGTATATCAATTCAATTTAAATAAAAGAATGAAAATATATTTATTTTCTTTATTTTACTTAAATATTAATGCAATTTTAAAAAATAATGATAATGAAGAAATAAAAAGACATAGAAAATGAATTTTCCATTTAATTATTTGAATTCAAGTGGAAAAATTTTTTTTCACTCAGAATTGATTGTCGAGTAATCTAATATTTATTTTCTATAGAAACTGGTTGCTGGACACCAGAATCTATAAAAGAGGAAACAATTTTACGATCTGTTATTATTGACAAAAATTCAGAAAATAAATATGGGAAATGTGTCTTTGTTTATCGTTTACGCTCTGACATTGAATACGAAATGGAACAATTGTTGGAAGTATTTATTTACTGTATTTTAAAATATTTACTTTCAGAATTAGCATTATTTTAAATTTCCATTATTGGTAGTGTTATTTTATTTAGCATTATATTTATCTCATTTTTTCATTAGTGATTTATTTACTATTTCAATTCAATTTATTAATTTATTATTCAATTCGTTCATATTTTTATTATTACTTTGATAAATTAGTTTATTATAGATTACATATTAAATATTATTATATAATTTTCTAAAGAAGGAAATATTTGCCATACATTTTTTTTCTAACAGGAAACGTATTACGCTTTCGTTGATGTTAATTCAGAATCGGAAAAAATTCAATCACAAATTTCCCGACTTACGAATTTATTACGTAAGACAGTTTTAATTGCATGCTCTGAATGGGGTGAATTGTTTAAAACTGAGACGAATCGAAAATTGAAGGACGATTTTATTGGCGACTTTAAAGATTTTTGCAAATTTCTCAACAGTACAGTAAAAATTGTTTAAAAATAATTTTATTTTTCTGAAATTAAGTTCAAACTACAATGATAGTAATAATAATAATATTAATAATTTCTGTTAATATATTATTTGTCCTTTATTTTTTAGTTACCGAAATGGAGTACAAAATTGATGCAAAATTCTTCACCGATTGGAATTTTTATCAGAAATGTTTAGCGAATCCAGAGGAACTTAAGAGTTGTAGTAATTCTTATGAGGTATTGTTACAAGTTGAAGATATTGTAAACGAATGGATGAAAATTATAAAAAAGGTATAAATTTTCAATATTAATATAAATATTCTTTTAATTTTTATTTTTAATTCTTTTTTTTTTTTTTTGTTTTACTCTAAAGTCTGTTGTACAAAGTCAACAATTAAGGAGAGAATCGGAGATTGCTGGACCACGGGAGGAATATTTCTATTGGCGAAGAGTATTAATTTGCTTTTCAACAATTACCGAATACATAGAGAAACAAGAAACACAACGATTATTAAAATTTCTCGAAATTACAAAATCCAAAGTTATTAAGGTATTTAATTAAATTTCTTCTTATTTTGTATGAATTTTATTTCTTTATTTTTATCTCCTTTTTTTGACATATTTATTTCATTACAATGAATATTCTTTTTCAATAAAAATTAGAATAATTAATTAATTAGAATAATAATAAATTTAAATTTACTATAGTAATTGAATTATTTTTATTTTTAATTAACTTAATTTTAATTACAATTTTTAATTTTTAAATTTATCTTTTTGTCTTTTTTTTCGGCAGAAATGGAATAAATTGGAAGATGAAGTGATGACGATTGAAATTATGGCGCGAGATAATGAGAAATATTTGGACTCATTGGAAAAGTTCATTAAACCTTTGTATCAATTAGATCCGACGGAAATTGGAAATTATTTGCCAGCCTTGATGTATGCGATTCACATGGTTTATACAACGTCACGTTTTTTTAACACAAGACAAATGGTCACTGCCGTGTTTGTTAAGGTAAATATTAAAATTATTTTTCTCTGAGAACCAAAGTTCTTTATCTTTAAAAAATACAAAAAAAAACGAATGTCTCAATTTTGAAAGATATTTTATTTGGAACAAAAAATTGTTTAGATAACAAATCAATTAATTGTTACGTGTAAATCCTATTTAACCGAAAATGGAACGTTGAAAGTTTGGCAAGACGCAAAGTCAGCAATGATTTCACGAATGAAGGTAAGAATTATTTTTTAAAAATTGCGGAAAAAATTGTAAAAAATTTTTTTTTAATTTTCGATCCATGGATCAAAATCTCTACTTACTTATAAATTTTGAAAAAATTTAAAAATTAAAAAAACTTTAAACAAATTGTAAAAAACTGAAAAAAATTTTAATTAAAAAAAATTGTAAAAAATTGTAGAAAAATGGAAGAAAATTGTATTTAAAAATCGATTGTGTAAAGAAAGATAAAGAATAAGAATAAGGAAGAATTCTGATAAATATTTTTTCTTTTAGGATTGTATTAAACTCTGTGATCAGTATTATAATCATTACAAGGAAATGAAAAAGAAAATCAAAAGATCACCAGAAGAAAAATCATTTGAAGTTTCTGAGATGTACGTCTTTGGGAAGTTCAATACATTCAAGGAAAGATTAAATAAAGTAAGTAAACTTTTTTCAAATTAAAAATTTTTTCCCTTTTAATTTTGTTTTAATTTTAATTTTTAATGTATTGAAAATTTTTGCAATGAATTTTACTATTTATAAATAAAAATGAATGGTTTCGAAGGATTTATTAAAATTTTAGAAAATAATTGAATTCTTTTGAAATATTTTATATCGAAATAAGATTATTCTTTCGTGAAATTTTTTTTGAAAGTAATTGAATTTTTGCGAAGATTTTTTAACGAATTAAGAAAAAAATTGAATTCTTTCGTGAAATTTTTTTTGAAAATAGGGTAAGTGCGGGTATAGTCGGACAGTACTAGTAGTCGGACACTTTCGTGTTTTTTGACAAATAAATAATAATGCATTGTGATAATTGCTTTAAAAAGTATACTAGACGAATGTGTGAAGTTTATATTTTATTAAAATAGTGTTATTTTCTAAAATAATTAAACAAGAAATATTTTATTTAATGCTTTAAAAATCATGGTGTCCGACTATAGATACAACCATTTTCGAGTAGCGCGATGAGTGGCACAAAGTTTTGTTGATAATTAATCATAAATATTAAAACTTATAGGGTTTAAATATTATATTAATAACTTCTAATTTGCTTTAATTCCATTTTCCAGCAGATAGCAATTAAAAAATTATCTGTTTTACTTTATAAATCCAAAATATCTGACAGATGTCCGACTATAGAAACAAGGGGAAAAAGTGTCCGACTACTAAAGCATTCGTAATTTTTTATTAAAATGTTTATATTTATTATTAAATACTCAACTATTTGTAACAAATTTATATGATTTTTAATCCTGAAGAACTCCTTTAATTAATAATGTGCTTATAAACACAGTAGATATTTGCTATTTCAAGAAAAAAAGCATAATTTAAGATTGTATCCTTAAGTGTCCGACTACTAGTGCATTTACCCTAATTGAATTTTTGCAAAGATTTTATTATTTAAAAAAATAATTCGAATTGTTTCGAAGCGTGACATTTGTTAGTATTAATTAATAGAGAAGAAAAAGTAAATAAACTATTTTTCAGATCATTGATGTTTTAAACATAACTCTTGAGTACTCAATTATACATAGTTCGGCTATTGAGGGAATAGATAATTTTGCTCAAAAATTTACATCTTTTTTCGAAAAAATCGCCTCGAAAACTTACGATCCCTTGGACTATAGAAAATTTGCCTTTGAACACGATTACAAGGAATTCAAGACAAATGTGGCTGACACTGAAGTGGAACTGAGGAATTTTTTCTTCAATTCTATTTCTCAAGTTCCTACCACAACTCAGGCGCTTCATTTCGTAGCCAGGTAATTAAATTCGAAAAAAGAATTTTTTAAATTTTTTAAATAGTTCATTATTAATTATTTAATAGTTATTAGTTAAGAGTTAATTTGTTTTTAAAGATTCGAAAAATTGAAATTAAAAGTATTGCACATCGATCGAAAATATTTGGAACTCGTTGCATCTTATCAGAAGGAAATAGAAAACATTCGTGACAGTTACAATGAAAATAGATCGTCGCCCGATACATCTCGGAATATTCCTCCAATTTCAAGTCGAATATTGTGGATTAGACAACTTTTCAAACGAATTGAGACACCGATGGCAATTTTCAAATCACGTGAACGAATAATTAAACACGAGAAAACACAAAGAGTTATTCGAATGTATAATGTGATAATAAGAGTTTTTATTCATTATGAAATGATTCATCATAAAGCTTGGTTCGATTCTTCCCACGTGGTAAGTTTATTCTCTTTTTACAAACAATTGATAAAATTTGAAAAACAAATTTTAAAATTATTTTTTTATATTTTTTATATTTTTAGTTATTTTTCTTTTTTTTGAGAATATTTAGAAAATTATTTCTCAATTTTCCAGGTACGTTTGGTACTTGCGTCGCCTCTTCTTCTACGAAATCCAAAAACAAACAAATACATTCTAAATTATGATCCCTACGTTACTGAGGTAATTCGAGAATCAGAGCATATGTCAAAATTTGGACTAGAAGTGCCGGAGTTTATAAAAATTGTAAATTTGTGCAAGGAAAATCTATTTGGATCCTATGAAACGGTGAAGTATTTGGTCCAGAGAAATGACACTATCAGGTAATAAATTAAAAAAATATCTATAAATTAATTTTCCCTTCGCATAAATTTTCATCTCCTTCAGTTTTTAATTCTTGTCAAATTAATTAATTTTTTTTATTTTTATTAATTTAATTAATTTGATTATTTTGATTATTTCGATTATTTTGATTATTTTGATTGTTTTGATTATTTTGAGTAATTTGAGTAATTCGATTAATTTAACAATTTCATTAAAAATTGTCCTTGCACAATTTTCATTTACAGACGCTCGATTCCTCTAATATTTCTAAATTTAATGAAACCCTTGTTTGTGAAATTGGAAGATGCTTTTCAGCCGTGCTTGTCAATAATAACATGGTCCTCATTGAGAATTGAGGAAATTTGCGACCTAATAGAAGTCACATTGAAAGACGTTGAGACATTTGTCAAAGAAGTGAAATACATAAAAGAAGCAATAGTCGATGAAATTTTCACTAAAATTACAGAAACGAAATTAATAAAACTAGAGAAATATCCATTAACTGCGAGAGAATTTTTAAGAATAAATTTCACATTCAGAAATTTAATTACAATCGAACTAAGAGAAAATTCCACGATGGCAGAAAAATCTGTCATTGATATTATAAATAAACTGTTGGATTTAGTTGACGATCCGAATATTTTAGAGGAGAAATATGATTGGCTCGATCCTGATAAAGTTAATAAACCCGTTAGTTCGTTAACTAAGCTCACTAAGGATTTTGAATCGGGTATTTAATTTTCGACTAAAAAATGAATTTAAAAAAAAATGTTATTTGAATTTTTGTTTAGTTAAATTTATTTTTGTTAAAAGGGGAATTAATTTGATAACTATGTTTAGGATTCGGTCGAGTGGATGGAAATGCAAAAGTCAATTTAACACAATTGCATAATGAGTGTATTGAATTGTTTGCGTATTTTAATTTTAAATTAATAGACGCTTTGGTGAAATGTACAAAAAATTCATTGACAATGTTGAAGAGACGAGTGCGAGCAAATAGGTTTGCAGAAGAGATAATTTAGAAACTTTATTTATAATAATTTAATTACTTATTTCATTTATTTCATATTTTTTATTTATTTTTCACATTTATTTTATATTTGTTTCTAATTTTTTTAATTTTTACAAAATGTTAACATTTTGTATTCTTTTACATTTCCTTTATATTTGTATTTTATTCTTTATATTTACTTTATATTTGTTTTTTATTTTTCATATTACTTAACATTTTGTATTCTTTTACATTTCTATATTTATTTGTTTATTTTTTTTGTATTTGTTTATATTTATCTGAAAAAAATTTATTTGTGTTTTTCTATTCTGTTTTTTTAAATTTGTTTTTATTAAATTACAAAAAATGTTTTGCAGTCTTTTTGTGAGTGAAAATATTGTTGAAGGAACAGAACCGCCATTATTTTTGACAGAATTTGTATTGAAAATACCGCAAATTTTATTGTCGCCAAGTGTCGAAGAATTGCAACAATGTTTCAGTAATTTTATTACAAACATTGTTGGTATTAGTAAAGAAATTGTGATGTGGGGCCAGAGAAATTTTAGAAATGAAGAATTTTTTTATGAAGACGAAAGTATTTAAATTATAATATTTCGTTGTTCTTTTAAAAAACATTTTTCCAATTTTTATTTAAATTTATTAAAATAATTTTGTTTTAACTTTCCAAATTTTTTATTCGATAATTTTTTCTCTAAAAGTAAAATCATTCTTTTGGAGAGAAATTAAAAATCTCTATGACTGAAAAAATTTAATAAAAAATTGGTTATATTTTTAAGTTTCGTAAAATTATTCATGTTTTTTCTATATTAATTTTTTTTTTTTGCAGGTTACGATGAGGATAATTTGAAAAATTACTATGAAATTATTTCCGATCGTCGAGAAATTATACGATCGATGTTAAATTTACAAGGATCGATATCGATATTAAAAGATGATATTTTCTTGCTGGCGAAGGTAAATTTTTTGAATTAATTTTTTTTTAATTTGGTAATTAATTGATTTTCCATATAAAAATATAACGATAAAGTAAATAGATATTTTAAATACAAAATTGTCTAAATTTAGTCATATCAACGTTTCTCTTTCATTTGGGCCGACGATAAAAGCGATCAATTAGAAAGATTCATTAATGCCGAGCCAATTGTCGTTGATATTAAAAATAAATTTGATGAATTTGAAAATCTCTTTCTCGAAATAAATAATTTGCCAGAATTCTATATTGTTGGTTGTATACAAATAAATATGGGTAATTAAATTTATTTTCTCATAACTCTTGTTTACGCTCTCTCAATGTCAAGGCTAAACCTTTCATTGAAATATTTATTAATTTTGCTTTTTTTCATAAGAAATTTTATTTTTTACTTTTATTTTATATTTCTGTAATTAGAAATTCTGTAATAAATTTCTATAAAATTGTATAAAAGTAATAAAAGCTGTAATAAATTTATTTTATAATTAAAAAAATATATTATTTGTTTCTTTTTTAGATAAATTGAAGTTTTCCTTGATGAAGGAGGCCGAATGTTGGAAAATGATTTTTGGAGAAATTTTATTGAGAACTTATGAAGAAAAACTGAGAAAACTAATTGGATACATAGAGGAAAAAAATCAAGTGCTATCGAGGGATATTAACGATTTGGAAGATGTGAGAATTGCAATGAAATGTCTCGGAGAGATTCGAAATGATTTTATATCTTTGGATATTGAATTAATTGCAATAGAAGAAACTTACGCTTTAATGTCCAAATATAACATTAGTTTTACACAAGAGGAACAAAATGCAGTTGATAATCTTCGTTATGACTTTACAGATTTACTTTCAACGGTAATATTTGAATATTAATCATTTTTATTAATTTCAATATTAATAATTTAAGTAATTTTAATACCTATTAATAATTTTATTAATTTTAATATTAATAATTTAAGTAATTTTAATATTAATAATTTTATTAATTTCAATATTAATAATTAAGGTAATTTTAATATTATTAATTTTTGTAATTTTAATTAAATTATTTTATTTTTTCTTATATTTTAAAAATAAAAAGTAAATTTTCATTTTATCAGGCGAAGAAAGTTCAACAAATAATCTGCGAAATGCAAGACCCATTAAAGAGAGAATTAACTCACGGAGTGACAATTTTCAAGAAAGACGTGATAAATTTTGATTCTGATTTTGAGAGAATTGGACCAATGGTTGAGGGATTGCCAGCAAAAGAAGCCAGTGACAGGTATTATTAATTGTTTTCTCTTTGCAATAAATTTTGGTATTTTATAGAATTGGGTGAATTTTTTTTTTAATTAACTTATTTCGTTACTTATTCCATATTTCAGAATGATAGTGTTTCAATCGCGTTTCGAGGAATTGTGGGAGAGATTTGAAACTTATAACAGTGGCGAAATTTTATTTGGCATACAGCAAACGGAATATTCAGCATTGGAAAAAAGAAAACGAGAATTAACTCTTTTACAGAAATTGTACAATTTATATTTACATGTGAATCGTGCAGTCGACGGTTACTATGAGATTCCTTGGTCTGAAATTGATATCGATGTTATTATCGCCGAACTTACTGATTTCCAAAATAGGTTTGTATTCCGCTTTTGCTAATTGTATAAATTTTTAATTATTAAATTATTACTAATTATTAATATTATTAATTAAGAAATAAATTTTCATTTTTTTTTTTTTTTGCTTTTAAAAAATATGAAAATTTTCATTCAGGTGTCGAATGTTACCAAAGGCAATGAGAGATTGGCCGGCTTATAACGATTTGAAAAAGAAAATTGACGATTTCAATGAAACTTGTCCTTTGCTGGAAATGATGGCTAATAAGGCAATGAAAGATCGACATTGGGAAAGAATGTCGAAACTTTGCAATTATACGTTTAATATTGAATCGGAGACTTTTATTTTGGCTGATGTTATGAAGGCTCCTTTATTGAAATTCAAGGACGATATAGAGGTAAATATTAGTAATTATCTTCTAATTATCTAATCGATAAGCAATATTTATATTTTTTCAATTTTAAAAAAGTTACCGTTTTAATTTAAAATTCATTCTTTTTCATTAAAATTATTTTTTTTCAATAAAAAATCCTTTTTCATTAAAATGAATGATCTTTTGAATTTCTTTTAAAATTCTTTTAAATTTCGTTTAAATTTATTTTTAAAATATAATGATTTTTTAAATTAAAAAGATTAATTTTCATTTAAAAAAAAAATGCATTTCTTTAATTAATATTTATTTTGAACTCTGTAGGATATTTGCATAAGCTCCGTAAAAGAAAAGGACATTGACAGTAAACTAAAACAAGTGATTGCTGATTGGAGTATTGTTGATTTGCAATTTTCGACATTTAAACAAAGAGGCGAATTACTTCTCAAAGGAACTGAAACTGCAGAAATTATTTCCCAACTGGAAGATAGTTTAATGATAATAAGTTCTCTTATCGCAAATCGGTAAAGCTATTTTAACAGTTTTTTAATTAAGAAAATAAAAATTTATTTCTAGTACTTTCTGCAGGAGAATTTGTTTTTTTTAATTCATTATTTCATTTCAAATAAAATCGGACGACTTTCTTTACTAAAATTAAAAAAAATTGATTTAATTCAAACACAAATTTTTTTTCAGATACAATATGCATTTTAAAAAAGAAATTCAATTGTGGCAGAATAAATTGACTAATACTTCTGAAATCTTATCGAAGTGGTTGAGTGTACAGAGTTTGTGGGCTTATTTGGAAGCTGTTTTCATTGGTGGCGATATCTCGAAACAATTACCTGAAGAAGCGAAGAGATTTAATGTAAGTTTCTAAATTTTTATTTAGTAGTAATAAATAATATTTGGTTATAATTAAATTGTATTTTTGAGATATTAATTGAGTAATTAAATCGTTTTGCTTCCTCGTGAGGAAGCTTTGTAGTCGTTTAATTTACAAAATTTTTAAAAATCCTTTTAACAAATTTTCTTCTATATGGGACTATGTTATATAAGACCCTGAACAATTGTCCGGATGTATGTATGTGTGTGTGTGTGTGTGTGTGTGTGTGTGTGGATCCCGATTTTTGTGAACACGATAACTCGAAGAGGTTTTAACGAATTTGGCTAAAATTTACCAGGTATATTTATCCTAAAAATATCTCGAAATGGATTGATAGACTTTAAAAAATTCTCAAAAAAAAAATTTTTTTTGACTTTTTTCTAAAAAAAATTTTTTTTCAAAAAATTTTTTTTAAGTTGGTTATTGAAGTTAATAAATAATAAAATCTTATTCTTTGCATCAAGACGAATCGATTAGTATATAAAAAGTATAAATTGTATGAGAATTTGCAGAGTTAATCACAATTAAAGCTGAAAAATTCGCGTTTTTATCAAAAAATGAGTGCTTTCCGCAAAATTATGTTGCCGTATAAGAAAATCTTACTCATTTATTTCTAAAATCTTATTCTTTGCACCAAGACGGATCGATTGGTATATATAAAGTATATATTGTATTTAAATTTATAGAATTAAAACCAATATTATAGACAAAAAATTTGCACTTTTAATAGAAATTCATTTTTTCTTAAAAATCATGTTGCTGTACAATAAAATGTTATTATTTATTGAGAAATAAATAAAAAATCTTATTCTTTGCATCAAGACGAATCGATTGATGTATATAAAGTATATAATCTATTGAAAAATATAGAATTAATTACAATCAAATTTGAAAAATTCACTTTTTTACTAAAATTTTTTTTATTTATTTAGATTCATATTACTGTTTAAGAAAATTTTATTCTTTCTATTAAGACGAATGCACTTTATTTTATAAATGTTAAATTGTATTAAAAGTTATTTAAAAATTAAATATTCTTATTGTTAATGCTTCCTCCACGAGGAAGCAAATTTTTTTTGCTGATCGTAAAGAGGAAGCAAAATGTTCATGTAATGAACATCTGGATTTACAACTTGTTTAAGAATATTGTTAAATCTTGATATTAATTGAATAATTATTTAATTATTTTTAAAGTTTTTTAAAGATATTGTTAAATCTGGATATTATGTAAATAATTTAATAATTTTTAAGGATATTTTTAAATCTTGATATTAATTGAATTGTTTTTTTTAAGGATATTGATAAATCTTGGGTGAAATTAATGCAACATGCGCACGATAAATTAAATGCCGTTGAAACTTGTTCCGGTGATGAAACAATGTCAGTTATGTTATCATTTCTTATGGAGCAACTGGAATCTTGTCAAAAATCACTTAGCGGGTAAGAAGCGAAATTTAGTAATATTTTCTAAACTTAAAAAAAAATTTACCGTAAATGTCGTTTTTAATTTTTTCTTTCGTTAACAATAGATATTTGGAGACAAAACGAGTCATCTTTCCGAGATTTTGCTTCATATCCGATCCAAGTTTATTGGAAATCTTGGGACAAGCGGCTGATTCGCATACGATTCAAAAATATCTTGACGGCTTTTTCGATAATATTGGTAAAGTAAGAAATCCAGGAAAATTTTTTTCCTTTTATTAAAAAAGCGGTAAAAATTCTTTTCCTTATAATTTACAGAGAAATTTTTTTCATAATTTAACGATTCAGAAAAAATTGTTAATTTATTTAATTAAAGTTATTAATTGAATTTGCAAAATAGTATTAGTATTAAGTAGATTAAATGATTAAAGAATTTTTCTTCTATTTCATTTCGACAGTTGGATTTCGACGAGAAGGAATACGATAAAATAGTAAATATGTATTCTCGAGAGGGTGAGAAAATTGTTCTCGAGAAAGACGTTTATTGCACAGGTGGTGTTGAAAATTGGTTGAATTCTTTATTGCAAGTTCATCGATTTTCCGTGGGATCTGTAATTTCACAAGGTCTTCAAACATTAAATTTACCGGAAACTGATATTATGACATTAATCGACGAGTCTGTTTTACAGGTAAATATAAAATTTGTTTACTATTTGTCAATTATTTTTATTTTATTAATTTATTGAGAATTACAATTATTTTTAAAAAGAAAAATTATTATTACTTAGAATTATTTTTTAAATTTAATCTTTTATTTTATTTAGGCTTTTATAAAGAGCGCTTGACAATAAAGGAATTAATTTTGTTTCAGGTCGGTCTTTTGTCACTGCAAGTTTTGTGGACACGTGATTCTGAAGTTGCTTTAGTTTCCTCAAAACGTGACAAAAATATAATGAAAAAAACAAATCAGTGGTTCCTGGATTTGTTAAATAGTCTCATTGAAGTGACAGTGAAGGATTTAAATAAATATTCAAGAGCTAAATACGAAGCTCTTATAACAATTCACGTTCATCAGAGGTAAATTATTAAGAAAAGGCAATTTTTTTAGTTTTTAATTTTAATGATTAATGTACATTAAAATTAATAGTTTTTAATTCTGTATAAATATTACATTATATTAGTTTATATTATTTGGTTCTATAACTAGTTCTCTATAATTATAGAATAGAATTAGAAATTTTGCTTTTCATCTCTTATAGTCTTTAGTTCTGTATATATTTAGTTTTTTATTTTTTCTACTTTTAGTTTTTTAGTGAAGTTCTCTTTAATTTAAATTTTCAATTTTCAGGGACATTTTCGATGAACTCTTTCGTAACAGAATAAGAAATAAACAGGATTTTGAATGGTTGAAGCAGGCTCGTTTCTACTACGATGAAGATTCAGAAGAAGTACCTATAGGAATCACGAATGTTGATTTTACTTATCAAAATGAATTTCTCGGTTGTACGGATCGCCTCGCAATTACACCATTGACTGACAGATGTTACATAACACTAGCCCAGGCAATTGGTAAGCAAATTGAAAAAATTTTAATTTTCAAGTTTTACTACCTAAAAATTCTACTTTTTAATTATTCTTATTTTTTTTTACTTTATCTATTTATTTTTTACAAATATCAATTTTCGTAGCTTTGGTATTAATTTTCACAACATTATTAATTTTCGTAACTTAAGAATTAATTTTCACAACTTTTGAAAAGAAAGAAAATTTTAAAAAAGGTTCAAACATTAAAATCTTTGAAAATTTGAATTTATAGATATTTGAAAATCTTAATTCCTATAGAAAAATTATAATGATTAAATATTTATTTAAAAAAGAAGTTATTAATGTTTTGGAATAATTTTACTTTTGAAGAAATTTTTAAATAAATGTAATAGAAAATTGAGTATCTAATAATTTTTGTACTGAATCAGAATATTCTTCAGGGTCAGAATTTAAAGTCAAAATTTTGTCTGGAAATCAGGGAAAATTCGGGGAAAAACAAAATTAAATTTTTGTGCCAATCCAGTAATATTAATTTCATTGAGCTAGGAAAATTTACACTTTCAAAAATTGTATTAATTCATTTTCGTCTCTTCAGGCATGAATTTCGGAGGGGCACCCGCAGGTCCTGCGGGCACAGGAAAAACGGAAACAACAAAAGATATGGCGAAAGCTTTGGGAAAATATTGTGTTGTTTTTAATTGCTCTGATCAAATGGATTTTCGTGGTCTTGGGAGAATTTTTAAGGGATTAGCTCAAGCTGGCGCTTGGGGATGTTTCGATGAATTTAATCGAATTGATTTGCCAGTTCTGTCAGTGGCTGCTCAACAAATAGCAATTATTTTAAATGCGAAGCGAGGAAAGAGATCTTCATTTTTATTTAGGTATAGTATTTTTTATTTTTTTCTCAAATAACTTTTTAGAAATAGAATTTGTTTTTTATCTCTCTTGTAATTTTTTTCACAAATTGGATTTATTTTTTATGTCTCTTGTAATTTTTTTTACAAAATTGAATTTATTTTTTATCTCTCTTGTAATTTTTAAAAAAATTGAATTTATTTTTTATCTCTTTTGTAATTTCTATTTTTTCTACCGTTATAATTAGCGATGGAGAAACTTATTCACTGGACTATGAATTGGGATTATTTATAACAATGAATCCGGGATATGCTGGTCGTCAGGAATTGCCGGAGAATTTAAAAATACAATTCAGAAGTGTCGCTATGATGGTTCCTGATAGACAAGTATTACACATTTATTAACATTTTCCATTAATAATTTTCTTATTTTATTTCTATTTCTATTTATTATTTTTTAATTTTTAATATTTAATACTTGTTTTTTTGATATTTTTCAGATAATTATGAGGGTAAAAATGGCCGCCTGTGGATTTAAGGAGAATATTGTTCTCTCGGGAAAATTCTTTACACTCTATAAACTTTGCGAAGAGCAATTAAGTAAACAAGTGCATTATGATTTTGGTTTGAGAAATATTCTGTCATGTTTAAGAACAATGGGCGCTCAAAAGAGAGCACATCCGGGCGAATCTGAGGAAACAACATTAATGAGAGTGTTAAGGTTTAAATATTTTTTTTCTATAAAACAAAAACAAAAAAGATTTTATGTCTTTAAATTCATTTTATAAATTTTCTTGTTTTTGTAAATTAATCTTTGCCTTCTTTTTGTCTTTTCAGAGACATGAATTTGTCTAAATTAGTAGACGAGGATGAGCCATTGTTTCTTTCTCTTATCGAGGATATGTTTCCGGGAATAAAATTGACAGTGCAGACCTATAAAGATTTGCAGAGAGCAATTGCGAATGCTACCGCAGAACTTGGCATTGTCAATCATCCCGAATGGAATTTGAAAATTATCCAAGTATATAATTTTAATAATTATTTCTAATTTTAATTAGATATAATTTGCTTGAATTTGATTTTTAATTTAATTTATTTTATTATTTAAATGATTGTGTGTCTATCATTTCATTGTTTATTCCACTTCTAAATTTATTTAATTAATTTATTTTATTTAGCTGTACGAAACGTCGCTTGTTCGTCACGGTTTAATGGTTTTGGGTCCAACAGGATCAGGAAAAACTCGTTGCATGTGGACCCTAATGAAGGCCTTAACGGAATTGGGAATTCCACACAAAGAAGTTAGAATGAATCCAAAGGTAAATTAACTTTTTTTCATTACATTTAATGTAATGGAAATATAAATATTTATCTATAAATTTAATTTATTTTTTGAATATTTAATTTATATTTTGAGTATTTTACTTACTATTTTTTTCATTTGCTTATTGATGATTTTTTTACAAAAAAATAGGCAATAACGGCACCTCAAATGTTTGGCAAATTGGACGTAGCCACAAATGATTGGACAGATGGAATTTTTTCCACTTTATGGAGGAGATCGACACAATTGAAGAAAAATGAAAATCTATGGATTGTTTTGGACGGTCCAGTGGATGCTGTGTGGATTGAAAATTTAAATTCAGTACTGGATGACAATAAGACATTGACATTAGCCAATGGTGATCGGATTATAATGGCTTCTAATAGTAAACTTGTCTTTGAACCCGATAACGTTGATAATGCGTCGCCAGCAACTATTTCCAGAATGGGAATGGTGTTTGTTAGTGCTTCTGTATTAAAGTGGCCGCCTATTCTTGAGGTATTTTTAATTATTATTTATTACCACAACATACTTATTATAATTATCTATACTAATAATAATAAATAATATTGGCATTATTATTTTTATTATTATTATTATACTTTTATTACAATAATCTTTTTATAATCGTCTCATCTATTTATTTTATTTATTATTTATTTATTAATTTGGGACAATTTAGACGGGAGGGGAGAATTTATTTATAAATCCAGAAGTCAGATTCAATTTAAATTGATTTTCTTTAAATATTGGTTTCTATTTATTTGTTTATCTATTTATTTTATTTGGTTTAAATTTAATTGGTGTTATTTGCAGGCTTGGTTGAGAAAACGACCAAATCAAGCGGAATTTTTACGATCGTTGTTCAATAAAATATACGAAGATGCACATATGTTTGTTCAAACTAAATTGGTGACAAAAATGAATATTTTAGAGGCTCTCTACATTCGGCAGTGTTTGGATTTAATAGAAGGACTTCTAACATTAAATGATGAATCTACACGTAAATATAATTAAAATTATTATCTACACGGAGAGAAAAATCAAGCGTTTTTAGTATGGAGACTTCCTATGGTAATTTTGTATGAACGCCCTGCTTAAGAGGCGTGTCCTTATACCTCAGTTGCATGAAACATATACTAAAATAGCATGGATCTCTTGCAATCGTAGTATCTTCTTCTTCTTCTTCTTCTTAAGTGGCCTGTTGATAAAACAAATGGCCATAGATAAAACACATATATGGTTACTGTAAGGGGATAAGGTTAACTGTCCATACTAAAAACGCTTGATTTTTCTCTCCGTGTATTCTTGTGAAATATTGGTAATTTTATAAATTATTTTTTCAATACGAATTTTATTCTAATGATTTACAATAATTATTATTATTAACTAATTTCAGAATTATTCGGCGATTCGCATTTGGAAAAAATTTTCTTATTCTCCCTAATGTGGAGTTTGGGTTCTGTTCTTGAACTCGACAGTCGTGCGGCTTTTCAAGAATTTGTCCTCTCACATACCTCAAAATGCAATTGGCCAGAGTGCAAGGTAATTGCATAATTATACACAAATATTTCTTTATTTAAATTCTTTTGGTTATTTGAACTTCGTGGCAAGAAACCAATAACCAAAACGAATCTATATAAATTGCTTTCTTTTTTAAATTGAGTTCAGTTAAGTTTTTTTTTTCTAAAATAGAACTCAAAGGTTCAACTCCTCGAATGCTCAGAACCTCAAAAATTCAAAGCTTCGAGAACTCAAATCCCCGAATGCTTAGTTCAAAACTATACAAAATATGAATTTTTGATTTGAGTTTTCGAGAATTCGAGCATTCGGGGCTTTAAACGTTCAGGGCTTTAAACGTTCGGGCATTTAAACGTTCAGGGCTTTAAACGTTCGGGGATTTAAACATACGGGGCTTTAAACGTACGGGGATTTAAACATACGGGGCTTTAAACGTTCAGGGCTTTAAACGTACGGGGATTTAAACATACGGGGCTTTAAACGTTCGGGAATTTCAGCATTCGGGGCTTTAAACATTCGGGGATTTAAACGTTCGGGGCTTTAAACGTACGGGGATTTAAACATTCGGGGATTTAAACGTTCGGGGCTTTAAACGTTCGGGGATTTAAACATTCGGGGCTTTAAACATTCGGGGATTTAAACGTTCGGGGCTTTAAACGTTCGGGGATTTAAACCTTCGGGGATTTCAGCATTCGGGGCTTTAAACATTCGAGGTTTAGAGCATTTGGGGATTTCGGATTTCGAGGAGTTGAGCAGAACTCCTCGAAATCCGAAATCCCCAAATTCTCTAAACCTCAAAAGTTTAAAACCTCGAAAACTCAAATCAAAAATTCATATTTGGTATTGTTTGAAATTTTATCTTTATACTTTAAAATAATTATCCTATAATAAAAAATTAATTAATTGGTAGATATATATTATATTGAGGAAGTTAAATGATTATGAAATGATCAACTTGTTTTAAGTTAAGTTTATTTAAAAGTGTATTTTCAAATAAATTTATTTAAATTGTTTTTTCTTTTTTAAAGACTTTATTGTTTTAAAGAGTGTTTTTATTTTAGGACGATGAAACTATTTTTGAATTTCTCGTGAGCGATGAAGGAAAATGGATGCACTGGAATCAGAAAGTTCCAGAGTTTCAGTATCCCATTGAGGAAGTTTTACCGTATCATTCAATTTTAGTTCCAAATGTGGATAACACACGAACTTCATTTTTAATGCACGTTATTGCAAAGCAGAAGAAAGCTGTTCTCTTAATTGGTACTTAAACTATTTTAAAATTGAAATTTAATTCTGAAGTAAGGAGAATTAGATTTTGTATATAATAACAAAACCTTATTTTGTTAACAAAAAAAATCCAGGTGAACAAGGAACAGCAAAAACTGTAATGGTGAAAAGTTATTTGTCCAAATTCGACGCCGAATATCATTTACATAAATCCTTTAATTTTTCCTCTGCGTCAACTCCGAATATGATCCAGGTAAATTATTTGATGTGAAATGGATATATTTTATAAAAAAAAAATATTTTTATTATTTATGTATTTTATACTATTTATATTAGTTTTAGTCGAAAATTGAGTTTTGCTAATTTTATTTTTTCGTATGAACAAGATATAATTTAAATAAATAAATTTAATGACGTAAAATTTGCAAATTGTAGCGAATTTTCGAAAGTTACGTGGAGAAGCGAGTCGGAAATACTTATGGCCCTCCAGGAGGACGAAGAATGACAGTTTTTATAGACGATATAAATATGCCAATTGTTAATGAATGGGGTGATCAGGTGACAAATGAAATTGTTCGCCAATTAATGGAATATGGAGGTTTTTATTCGCTCGACAAACCTGGCGATTTCTCCACTTTACAAGATATGTTGCTAATGGCTGCAATGATTCATCCCGGCGGGGGACGGAATGACATTCCTCCACGATTAAAAAGACAATTTAATATTTTTAATTGTACTTTACCTTCAAACAAATCAATGGACACGATTTTCAGTGAGAAATTTTATTTCCTTTTTTTTTTCTTCTTTTATTTGTTTATTTATTTACTTATTTATTTCTTTACTTCTTTATTTATTTTCTTATTTACTTATTTGTTTATTTATTTACTTACTTATTTATTTACTTCTTTACTTATTTCTTTATTTATGTACTTATTTGTCCATTTACTTATTTGTTTACTTACTTATTTATTTATCTGCTTGTTTATCTACTTATTTATTATTTTATTTTTTTATTTATTTATTAACTTATTTATTTCAGAAAATAAAAACATTGTTTTTGTTATAAAAATACGAAACATTACAGGTACCATTGGACAGGGCTATTTCAATCTTCATAGATTTCCAGAAAAAATAGTCAATTTCATATCGAAATTAATTCCAATGACACGAATTTTATGGCAAAGAACAAAAGTGAAAATGCTTCCAACACCAGCAAAGTTTCACTATGTTTTTAATTTGAGAGATTTATCGCGTATTTGGGAGGGAATTCTTCGAATTGAGAGAGATGAATGTTCCTCCATCGAGATGCTATTGAAACTTTGGGAGCATGAATGTACAAGAGTAATTGCAGACAGGTAAATAATACAAATTTTTTTTTCTTTTTACAATCTGTTGATATAATTTAAAATTTCCCAGTTTGTAATTTTTGAATTATGTTTATTTATTTATTTATTTTTTGATTCTGTAGATTTATTGACGAAACTGATAAATCGTGGTTTAAAAGAACATTACAAAAAACTGCCGAGGAATGTTTGAATTACGATTTTCGACATTATTCTCCAAATGAAACGTATTTTGTCAATTTTTTGCGAGATCCTCCAGAACCAACGGGAGATGAACCGGAAGATTTTGTTCTTGTTGCTCCGAAAATTTATGAAGAAATTCCAAGGTTTGTGGAAAAAATTATTTCATCATGAAAAAATTTGAATGAAAATGTTTTACTGTAATTTTTTATTTCTTTTTATTTATTTTCTTTTTTAGTTAGAAAATTATCAACTTTTTTTTATTCAGTAATGTAAATGTAAATTTTATTAAATTAATTTGTAAAAATTGTAAAATTATTTTTAACAGTTTGGAAATAGTGACCGAAAGAGTTCGTCAATTTATGGAACAATTTAACGAGTGTATTCGAGGACTGCGATTGGATTTGGTCTTTTTTCATGACGCTTTGGTTCATTTAATTCGTATATCGCGAATTTTCGGCGTTCCTCGAGGAAATGCACTTCTTGTTGGAATCGGCGGTTCCGGAAAACAGAGTCTCACTCGACTTGCTTCCTTCATTGCTGGTTTGGACTTCTTTCAAATTGTTCTGACCAGGTAATAGAATTTAATTCGTAAAAGTTGTAGATTTAATTTTTTAAACAAAATTTTATTTTCTATTTTAGTTTTGATAAATTTGAAAGTATCTTGTAATTAGAAAAGTAGTTTATTCTGTAAATGTAAGAGTAATTTTTTTAGAATTGTAAAATTTGTCCGTAAAATTGTAAATGTATTTTTTTTTGTAATTCTAAAAGTATTTTTTTTTAAATACAGGAGTTACAATATCGGAAGTTTGCTGGAAGACTTGAGAAAATTGTACCGAATGGCAGGAATTGGACCGCGAGGTGCAACTTTTATTTTCACGGATAACGAAATAAAGGACGAAGGCTTTCTTGAATATTTAAATAATGTTTTGAGCGTGGGTGAAATAGCGAATCTTTTCCCAAAAGACGAACTTGACGAACTATTAACGAGCGTAATTCCTCTAATGAAAAAAGAACAGCCAAGAAGACCTCCAACTCCGGACAATTTATACGAATATTTTATATCGAGAGCGAGAAATAATTTACACATTGCTCTTTGCTTCTCTCCGGTAATATTTTTTTCAAATTATCGTATTATTTTTTTATTTTCTAGGTTTAGAGACAAATTCTCAGTAATTTTGAATCCAATTTCTGTTGATTTTCAATTATTAATTTTTGATTTTCCAAAAAAACAGGTTGGCGAAAAGTTTAGATCTCGATCGTTAAAATTTCCTGGACTCATATCGGGTTGTACGATGAATTATTTTTCAAGGTGGCCAAAAGACGCGTTATGTGCGGTCAGTAATCATTTTTTGAAAAATTACAATTTCGTCTGTACACCGGAAATAAAGGAGGAAATTATTCAAGTGACGGGCGAGGTTCAGGAATATGTGATTGACGCTTGTACGGAATATTTCAACAGGTAATATTGTATTTTATTTTTATTATTTGAATAAAACTAATTGTAAATTAAACTAAATAATTTAAAAAGATGAAAATATTTTGAAATTTTTATTAAATTATTATTGAAATATTGTGGAAAAATATTTTGTTTTTCTTTGCAGATTCCGTAGGCAAACATACGTGACACCAAAGTCATTTTTGTCGTTCATTAACGGATATAAAAATGTTTATAAACAACGTCTCGACAATATAAATACTCTCGCTTTTCGAATGAGCAATGGTCTTAGTAAATTAGTCGATGCAGCGATTCAAGTCGATGAATTGCGTAAAGTACTCGAGAAAAATCAAGCCGAAATTGCCGTGAAAAATATCCAAGTTGAAGCTGTAAGTGAATTTGAATTTAGAAAATTAAAAATTTAAAGAGAGGAGTAAAAAAAATTTTACTTTCAAATGAATTAAAAATTAAAAACAAAATTAGCTTAAAAAAAAAAGATGAATTGAAACAAAAATATCTAAATTTAAAATTTAATCAATAGATTTCAATTGATTTTAATTTTTAGATATTTTTAGATATTTTTACATATTTTCATAAGTTGAAATAATATTTTTCCTTTAGATACTTGTGACTGTGAACGAGAAAAAGGGAGACGCAGAAGCCGTGAAATCTCGAGTGCAGAGTACGAAAGAAGAAGCTGAAGCTATACTGAAAATTATTTCTAAAGATAAATCAGTGGCTGAGAAAAAATTAAAAGCCGCCGAGCCAGCTTTACTCGAAGCTGAGGCAGCTCTACAAGTAAGTACACTATTTATTTTTTTAGTAGGTATTATTATAAACGGAAAAAAATTATTTTCAAATATTTAAAATTTAACCAAAAAATTTATTTAATTATTAATTTTTAATTATTTTGACTATTTAAGACTATAAAAGCAACTGACATTGCCACAGTTCGAAAACTAGCAAAACCACCTTATTTGATCACACTTATCATGGACTGTGTTGTAATTTTATTCGGTCGAAAATTAGATCCCGTGAAATTAGATATGGAGAAACAATTTTTGATGCCATCCTGGGGCGAAGCTTTAAAGGTACTTTTATCTTTAATTCTTTTTTATTAATATAATTCTTAAAGAGTGAATTCTTTAAATTTTGAATCTGTAATCTTTAAAAAATTCTTAGGTTTTAGCTGATACAAGATTTCTGTACCATCTGCAAAATTTTCCCAAAGACAATATTAATGGAGAAACTGTTGATTTGATGATACCGTATTTAAATTATCCTTTATACACATACGAGGCGGCAAAAACAGCTTGCGGAAATGTTGCTGGCTTAATTTCCTGGACAATTGCAATGGTTAAATTTTATGGAATAAATAAGGATGTTTTACCTTTGAAGGTAAGAATTTTCGTGTTTAAAGCATCTTTTTTTTTAAATTTCAAAAATATAAATTAAAAATATATAAAAAATTTAAAATTAATTTCCCAACAGGCTAATTTAGCGGTTCAACAAGGAAAGCACGATAAGGCTAATCAAAATTTACAACAAGCGGAAGCTTTACTCAAAGAAAAAGATGGAGAATTGAAAACGGTTAAGAAGGAATTTGATGCAGTTATGGCTGAACGTCAGGTAAATATTGGCAATATTTTGAACCTTTCTTTGTTTTTAGACTTTCAAAATGAAAAACACCCTTGTATTTAGTTTTAATTTATTACATGTAAATATTAATATTCAGAGTACTTTATTTAGTATTTGTGTAAAAATGAAAAGGTCTAAATTATTTGCATAATATGTGAAATTGTTTCTCTAATTTATTTTAGTATGAATTTAAGAAAAGAAAATCATCAATTATTTAATTTTGATTTTATAGAAAGTAGTCGATTTGGCGGACGCGTGTCAAGCAAAAATGAACGCTGCAACGGCAATGATTGATGGACTTGCTGGCGAAAGAGTTCGATGGACCGATCAATTAGCAATGTTTAAATCCGAAACAGAAAGACTCGTGGGCGATGTTTTATTACTCACTGGATTTTTATCATATTGCGGTCCATTTAATCAGGAATTTCGTATACTTCTACAAAAAAAATGGTTCGATCTTGTTCAGGATCGTAAAATTCCAGTTTCCGCCTCTATTAGCGTTGTCAATACTTTAACTGACGCAGCAACTGTGAGTATAATTTTTAAATGATAATTTTAACCTCGTAACATTTAAAAGAAAAATTTAAAAAAGAAACTTAAAAAATTAAAAAATTTGACAATGTGAAAAAATGTTAGCTTATTTATTTTTAACATTTTCTTTTATGTAGACTGGAGAATGGAATCTTCAGGGATTGCCCAATGATGAACTGTCGATTCAGAATGGAATAATTGTAACGAAAGCTTCGAGATATCCTCTATTAATTGATCCTCAATTGCAAGGAAAGACTTGGATTAAAAATAAGGAAAGGGACTTTGATCTGCAAGTGAGTTTCTTTAAATTTTATTTTTATTAGAATTTGTTAATTTTGCAATTTTGCAATTTATTTATAATTTATTTATTTTTCCGAAAAATGGTTTTTATTAAATTATTCTTAAATGATCATATTTTTCTGTTCTTTTCTTTGTAATCTAATTTCTTTGAGTTTTTACAACTGCAAAAATAAAAATTGAAAATAAAATTACTTTCAGGTTACTTTCCTAACGCACAAGTATTTTAGAAATCATTTGGAAGATTGCGTTTCTCTAGGTCGTCCACTTTTAATCGAAGATGTTGAAGAAGAATTGGACCCCGTTTTGGATAATTTATTGGAAAAGAATTTTATAAAAATAGGAACAACACTGAAGGTGAGTTTTTTAATTATTTTTACTGATTATTTCTTTTTTTTTATTTACTCATTTTCTTTATTATTTATTTTAAGTACTAATTTAAATTAATTATTTATTATAATATAATTTTTAATCACGTAATTTAATAACATTTGAACTATTTGGTAAATTTATTAGAAAATTTTATAAATTTTATAAATTTTTACTTATTCTATTTTGATTTGTGAAAATTGTTATTTTCAGGTAAAATTAGGTGATAAAGAAGTTGACGTTCATGATGATTTTCGTTTGTACATTACAACTAAATTGCCGAATCCTTCATATCCGCCGGAAGTATTTGCGCGCACTTCCATAATCGACTTCACTGTAACAATGAAGGGTTAGATTTAATTTTCAAATTTTATTTTTTCATAATGATTTCAATTTTCTGAGAATAAACATTAAAATTCAATTGAAAACTTAAATTTAAAATACAAATATAAAATTTAGTTATAAAAAAATTGTATTTCCCCAGGTCTGGAAGATCAGTTACTGGGTAGAGTTATTTTAACTGAAAAGCAGGAATTGGAAACTGAACGAACTCAACTAATTACTGATGTAACGGCGAATAAGAGGAAAATCAAGGAATTGGAAGCAAATTTACTTCATAAATTAACAACCGTTCAGGTAAAAATTAATTTGTGGGAATATTTTCTATTTAAGTTTTTTTCACACTTCATTTTTGTTTATTCTTCTTTTTTTGAATTGAAATTTCAGGGACCATTAATAGATGACGTAGAACTGATGGCAGTTTTGAATAATACAAGAACAACGGCCAATGAAGTGAATGAAAAATTGACGATAGCAAATGAAACCGAATTGAAAATTAATGCAGCACGAGAAGAATTTAGACCAGTTGCGACTAGAGGAAGTGTTCTCTATTTTCTAATCTGCGACATGGCTCAAGTTAATGTCATGTATCAAACGTCACTCGCTCAATTTTTGGAGCGCTTCGATCTTTCTCTCGACAGGTAAATTTTTTTTCCAAATTTCTATTCAAAATTTATATTAGAATAGTATTATTAAAATTATATTAGAATAATAATAATTAAATTGTATTAATAATTATATCAGAAATTATTCTATTAGAAATTTTATTTTTATTTACTTTTTATTACTGAGAAAGAATGAAATGAATTTATTTCAGATCAGAAAAAAGTCCGGTGAATATGAAGAGAATTGGCTACATTATTGAATATTTAACATTTGAAATATTTAAATACAAATCACGTGGATTGTATGAAAATCATAAATACATGTTCAGTGTGTTGATGACATTGAAAATTGATCTACAAAGAGGCGCAATAACTCACGAGGAATTTCAGTATTTCATTAAAGGAGGAGCGGCTCTCGATTTAAATTCAGTAACACGCAAACCCTACAAATGGATCACCGACATGACTTGGTTGAATTTAGTCGCTCTTTCGTCTGTCAAAAATTTTCAAAATATTGTCTCTCAAGTTTATGCGTCAGAAAAAAATTGGAAAAACTGGTTCAGTAAGGAATCGCCCGAGGAGGAAGTTATTCCTGATGGCTACAATAGTTACGATACGTTTCGTCGTCTTTTAATAATCAGGTATTTCGTTTTTTTTCTTTCTTATTAATTTTCTTTTCTTTTAAACAATATTTTTTTAATATTTAATTTTCCTTTTTTTGGAATATTATTTAGACTTTTAATCTTTTAATCCTTGATCTTTTTCGGTTCTTTATTTATTAATTCAAAACAATTTTAATTCTTTTTTCGTTTTTTTTAATTTAAAATTAAATTTTTTTAATTTATTAAACTGAGAATCTTGAGTTTCTTTTGAAAAAGTGTTAATTGAAAAATTTTTTTTAATTTTTTCGATCAGAGCTTGGTGTATGGACAGAACACTTTCGCAATCGCGTAAATATATTGCCAGTTCTTTGGGTGTAAAATATGCAGAACCAGTATTAACTTTATTAGATGTTATGCATTCAGAATCGAGACCAAACACGCCGATGATTTGTTTTTTGAGTATGGGATCGGATCCCACACCAAGTATTGAACAGCTTGCGAAAAAAATGGAGATTCGTTGTAAAAGTATTTCAATGGGACAGGGACAGGAAATTCATGCGAGAAAATTATTAAATTCTGCAAAAACTGAAGTATTTTGAAAATTTGCAAATACTATCAAAAATAATGAATAATTCTACGGAGTAAAAATTGAAATTAAAAATAAAATTTAGGGCTTTTGGGCGCTCTGTCAAAATTGTCACTTGGGCCTCGAGTATATGGTGGAATTGGTGGACTTTATTTTAGAAATGGATTCACCACATCCCGATTTTCGTATTTGGATAACTACTGAGCCACATAAAGATTTTCCAATTTCTCTACTGCAAATGTCGATTAAATTCACTTATGAGCCACCGCAAGGTTTCTTTTTATATTTTAGATTAATTTTTTTTTACGCTAATATAATACAAAAATACTGGAAAAATACTAAAATAAAATAGGGAGTAAAATTAAAATATTTAAATTAAGATAAAAAATAAAAATTTAAAAATTAATTAATTAAATTAATTTTTTGATTGTAATAGTGATTTAATTTTCAGGAATAAGAGCGGGTTTACTCGCGACATACAGTGGAATGAATCAGGAGATGTTGGACCAGTGTGATTCCTCCCAATACATACCGTTAGTGTATGTTGTTTCCTTTTTGCACACGGTTTTGCAAGAACGACGCAAATTTGGTCCTCTGGGTTGGAATATTCCTTATGAATTTAATTCCGCCGATTGGCTCGCTTCCTGTATGTTTATGAATAATCATTTAAATGATTTGGATAATACAGGAGACATTAGTTGGTCAACTGTCAGGTAAGCAAATAAATTTTTAAAAATGAAGATATAATTTTATTTATAATTTATATACAAACAAAAACACGAAATTTTTTATTGGTATATTTGGAATCCTTGATACTCAAAACGAATAATTATGTGTGAAATTTAATGTTCTGAGCAATGTAGAAACAAAAGTCTGATTTTATATATATATAGATTTGAAGTTTGCTGTTTGGCTTTAAATTCTTCTATTAAATTCTTTTATTTATAAAATTTATATTTTTTTTTTATTAATATTCTTTGAAATAAAGGTACATGATTGGTGAAGTTCAGTACGGAGGTCGTGTAACTGACGACTATGATAAACGTCTTTTGAATACTTTTGCAAAAGTTTGGTTCACGTCCACAATATTTTCAGAGGCATTTAATTTTTATAAAGGCTATACTGTTCTTAATTATAAATTAGTCAGTGAATATATAAAAGCCATAGATACTATGGCTAGCATCGATCCACCACAAGCTTATGGTCTTCATCCAAATGCGGACATTACGTAAGTCAAATTAATCAATATTCAATTCATATTTTATAATAAACTTAGAAGAAAAAATTTCTAATAAAATAAAAATATTTGCAATTTTACTGAAAAAATTTTGAATAATTTTCTTTTTTTTATTTACAGTTATCAAAGTAATACGACGCAGAATGTTTTGGATACAATAATATCGGTGCAACCTAAGGAAGCAGGAATTGGTGGAGGTGAATCGCGGGAGGATTCAGTGGCAAGGCAGGCGAATGAAATGTTGTCAAAATTGCCACCGGCTTATGATCCATTTGAAGTGAAAAATAGGTGAAAATATTTAATAATTTAATAATTAAAATAGAGTCCGACCATCTACCGATATAATTTGAAATTAACTAAAAAGCGAGCTTAAAAGTAAAAGGAAAAATTATTTCATAGACAACTATTTAATAATTTAATTAAATATTAAAAACAAATATATTTGCGTAAAATTGAATTAAATATTTAATAATTGAATTATCAGTAAAATGAATTAAAATAAAGAAATTATTTAATAATTGAATTGAATAAGTAAGAAAAAAATTATTTAATAATTGAAATAAATATTCACTTATTAGAGAAAATTAATATAAGAACAATTTTATTTTTAATATATTAGATTGCAAATTATGGGCGCAACAAGCTCGATGAATATTTTCCTGAAACAGGAAATAGATCGAATACAAATTGTCATCAAATTAGTTCGAGTAACACTGAAAGATTTACTATTGGCCATCGAGGGAGTTATAATAATGAATGAGGTGAATTTCTTTATTAAAAAATTGGAAATCAATTAAATAGTTGATTTAAAATTGATAAAATTTATTTCAAATAATAACGTTCTGTCTTTTTTTTTCCTCCATTAAACAGGAATTGAGAGATGCGTTAGATAATATTTACGATGCAAGAATACCCAAAGTGTGGAAGTCTCGCTCATGGGAATCAAGTACACTTGGATTTTGGTTTACGGAACTTCTCGAAAGAAATCGTCAATTTTCCTCTTGGTTATTTGGACGAAGACCGCCGAAATTTTGGATGACTGGATTTTTCAATCCTCAAGGTGAGCATATTTCTTCTTTAAAAAGCAATAAATTAAAACAAAAAGCAAACGGAAAATTGTTTCTTAATGTTGCTTTTATATTGCTTAAAGTGTTATCAATAACAATTTGCTAAAAAAAATGTTTGCTTAAAATACCTAGCAAAAAATTGAAAAATGTAAAAGAAAAATTATTTGGAGAAGGAATTTTAAAATTTAAGAAAAAAAAATTTTTCTTAAATGATAATTAAAAGTTAGCTTAAAAATTGTTGGTTAAAATATTAAAAATTGGAGAAAAGCAAAGAATTATTTGAAGAAAGAATTTTTGATTTAAAAAAAGAAATTCGTTTTTAAATACCAAGTAATTAAATAAATGATAAAATCGGTTTGCTTATCACTGGAGTTTTTACTATACAAGATAATTAAACAATAAGTATAATTAATAAATTTGATAAAATGAATTTATTTTTTCTAAAAGAAATTTTTTTCTGCAGGTTTTTTAACAGCAATGAAACAGGAAGTAACAAGGGCCCATAAAGGATGGGCTCTTGATAATGTCACACTTCACAATGAAGTGACGAAACACACCGCTGAAGAAGTGAGAACTTCGCCAAATGTAAGAATAATAAATTATTATATTAATAATTAATTAATATTGTAAATATTAATTATATTTACAATATTGGTTAACTGAATTTTATTTTGTATTAATATTTACAATATTGGTTGAATGAATTTTATTTTATATTAATATTTACAATATTGGTTGAGTGAATTTTATTTTATATTAATTTGTCCATCAGGAAGGTGTTTTTGTCTACGGATTGTATTTGGACGGTGCTGGATGGGATTTGAAAAATAATCGCCTACGTGAATCGTTAAACAAAGTCCTGTACGTGATGATGCCTGTGATACACATCTTCGCGCTCTACAATAATCCAGATAAAAATCCAAAACTTTACCAGGTATTTACAATATTTTATTATCTCTCTATTATTAAATCTCCCTTCATTTTTCGATTTTTCGAAATTTTATTTAATTAAATTAAACTAAATGAAACTAAATTGAACTAAACGAAACTAAATTAAAGTAAATTAAAGTACTAAATTAAATGGAAAATGTTTACATTTCAAAATTAAGTAAACCTTGCTAATGAATTAATTAAAAAAGTAATTAAACTTCAATTTAAAATTAATGATAATTGAATTAGTAATTTTCCTTAACTAAAAATTCAAATTCTATAATTTAGTGTCCAGTTTACAAGAAACCAATGAGAACTTATAATTTGCTAATAACGCCGCTATGGCTAGAAACAATAAAACCTCCCGAATATTGGATTTTACGTGGAGTTGCATTGCTCTGTGACACGAAATAATTCACGTATTTACAATTTTCTCAAAATTTATTAACAACATTTTTTTTTAAATTTAAAAAATTAAAAGAACAATTTTTTCGGAGTATTTAAAAATTAAACATACAATTTTTCATGAATAAAAACTTAATGTACAGTTTTTCATGAATAAAAAATAAATCAACAATTTTTCGTGAATAAAAAATAAATGTAAAATTTTTCACGGAGTATTTCAAAACTAAACGTTTACAATTTTTTCGAGGTGTCTAAAAATTAAATGTACTTTCATGAAGTATTTAAAAACGAAACGTACAATTTTTTCGAAGTATATAAAAATTAAATGTACAATTTTTCATGGAGTATTTATACATGATTATAAAAGAAAAAAATTGCATTCTTAAAATTAATAATTATACTCTGATTATTGACATTAACAGAGTTAAAGACATTAGTAATAATGGTAACAGTCTCTATATTTTACAATTAATAACGAATTAACAACTATGACTTATGGTTGATAAAGATAATAGTAACAATTATGCCTTACGCTTTATAACGATAATACTAACAAACATGCCTTGCGCTTGATAACAATAGTATTAATAATAAAATGTAATATTATATAATAAATATGAAATTTTTCACTGTATATACAAGCAAAAAAAAACAAAAAACAAAAAAAAAACAATATTCGTATACAATATTCATATTACTATATAATATTACATAGAAAATTTATAATTTTCCAAATTAATATACTTTCTAAAAATAAATGATTTTAAAAATCAGATAAATTATATACAAATAGTAAAAAATGGCTCGGAATTCTTTTGTACTCTTTTTTTTTTTCTTTAAAAGGCAAATGCAAATTAAGCGTTGTCCTTGCGTGTTATAAACTTTTTGCCATTGTACTCTCGGTTTCCTTAATGATGTAACATTCAAGTTTAGAGGAAGCAGAGTGAACTAATTAAAATGAGAGCAAGTGATGTTTGCAAGGTAACACTTGTAGCCTTATTATAACGCCCCCAATTTTCATCACGATTGCAGTAATTGCTCTTGCATATGTTAGTATCAATGTGTTGTCCACTTCTGAATGGATGCATCTCAGTCCAACAGTCATAAACCGTGGTTCTTTTGTGTAGATCTGAAAGAAAAAAAAAACGATTACATATTTTAATAATGAAAAAGACTTTTTTCTGACTTTTGAGGCAAATTTAGAAATTCTTATTTTAAATTAGTATAAATACACTCGTGCGTAAAGAAGGAATTAAAAAATTTCAAACATACTTTCAATCTTTAAACCTTTCAAAATTTAATTATTTCTAAAAATTAAAATTCTTTTAATTCTTCAAATATTATCTGAAAGTTTAACTAAAATTCTTTTTTGAATCAATAAGAATTGATGAGTTCTACGAGAATTTAATAATCTATATTGTATTAATCGTTGTATTCCGGTAATCTGTTTAAAGTTAATTGTTTGCTTTTTTGTTTCTTCATTTTTAATAATTTTTTAATTATTTTTATTTTGAAATATATTTTCAATTTTAAAATTCATGTCATGAAAATTATTGAAATCTTGCGAAAGATTTTACAATGTAAGGAAAATAATTGAATTTTTTTTGAAAAATTTTATCAGAATTTTTGAAAATATGTGAATTTAATTAATATTTTTTTAAAAATAATTGTATTCTTTCAAGAAATTTTACTAAAATTTAATTAAAAATAATTGAATTGCTCTGAAGATATTTATTATCAATGAAAATAATTGAATTCCTTCAAGGAATTCTTTTACTTATGAAAATAATTGAATTCTTGCGAAGAATTTTATAAAAAATTTTAAAAATTCTAATTAAATAATTTTGAAGAATTTCTTTGAATTTTTTAAAAATAATCTAATTTCTTATTTTTTCATGCAATTTTGATGCAATTTGCAATTCCAATATGTTTGGAGTTAGTTGTTATTTGCTTTTTTGTTTTCTAACTTTTTTAAAAATTTTTCTTTTAAAATATTTTCAATTTTAAAATTACATATTGTATTGAAAATCATTTAATTCTTGCGTAAAATTTTACAATTTATAAAAATAGTTGAATTGTTTTGAAGAATTTGAAAATTGAAAATTTTTAATGTCATTAAATTTTACGAATAATTTCTTTCAAGTTTTCAAAATAATCGCGTTTCTTAATAATTGAAATTAAACACTTACTCATTGAATTTTCTTAAAATTTTTGGAAATAATTTAATTCTTCTCAAAATTTAATTACAGTTTTTTAAAAATAATTTAATTAATTTAGAGAATTTTATTAAAATATAGAAAATAATTATATTCTTTTGAAGAATTTCTTTGTATTTTTTTCAAAATTGAATCCTTTTGTGAAATTTTATTAAAATTGTATTGAAAATAAGTGAATTCTTTCGAAGAATATTATTATTTATGAAAATAATCGAATTCTTGCGGAGAATTTAATTTTGAATTATAGTTGAATTCTTTAAAGAAATTTTATTTAAAATTCAGAAAAATTAGTTTTTAAATTCTATAAAAAAAATTTAATTTTTTAAGAATTTTATTAAAAAATTGACATAATTAAATTTTTCATAAACAAATTGTATCTATCATTTTCTAATTTTTATAGAATATAATATAATATTTTACAAGAAATTTCTTAAAAATTTTGAAAATAATTGAATTTTTAAAATAAATTTTAGAGACAATTTTAGAAATAATTGTATTTTTTAGAATAACTCAATTTTAGAATTACTTTAATTATTTTTTAAATAATTGAATTTTGGAATAATAATTGGAATTTCTTGAGTTTTAAAGAAGATAATTCGATATTTTTCAAGAAATTTATTAAACGATTTGAAAATTAAGGAATTTTACAGAAAAAAAGGTTTCCAATAACCAGAAGGAAACGAGAAAGAAAAAAATAAAATAATTGAAAATAATTGAATGTTTGCAAAGACTTTATTATTTTAAAAAATAATTGAATCGATTTAATGGATTTCTTAAAATTTTAGAAAATAATTGAATTTTTTCGTGAAATTGTATTAAAATTTTGTTGAAAATATTTGAATTTTTGCAAAAAAATTTTATTATTAATGAAAATAATTGAATTCCTTCGAAGATTATTATTATTTATGAAAATAATTGAATTCTTGCGAAGAATTTTATTACAATTTTTGAAAATATAAATAATAATAATTAATTATTTACTTAATAAGTGAATTTTTTAAATTTATAATAAATAATAAAATAGAAATATTTATAATACTCACAATCAGATACATAAGTTACACATGCATCAGAATAGGAAGTAGTATTACAGGTATGATTATCTAAAAATTTATTGCAAGTTTTGTAAGAACCGATCACATGAGATTGGTCACCATCAATGCATTTATAACAAATCGTACAGTTGACTGAAACAAAAGAAAATGTTATTAAACAAAATTTGAATCATGGTTATCGATCATCATAATATGTAATAGTAAATAATAATATTATTATTATTATGGAATAATCGCGGGAAACAATAAGAAGTTTCTCAAATATCTTAGTCATGTTTATCGTTTACGAAATAAAATAACCGCAGAATGATGAATCAAGCTAGTGAAAGGGAAACACGTTTTACATTCTAAAATATTTATCAAATTTATTCACTATTACTTTTTGATAATCTTTATATATTATTGTAGCAAATTTTATCAAAATTGCAAGAAAAATTAAGAAAAATAAAAAAAAAATTGGTAATAATAAAAAATTATGGATATTATAAAAATTTTACAAATTATACAAATTTTAGATGAAAAATTGAAAAAAAATTTCTTTGAATGAACCGCGCGAAGGAAATAATTTAAAAAGATCGTTATTTTTTTCTGTACTCTTATAATTATGATTAATTGTGAAGAAATTTAATACAAAGTTTTTTGATGAGGAAGTAAAAAAAAGAAAAGAAATGCTGAAACGTGAAAAAGACTTAGAATTTATGTGAATCAATAGAGGTGAAGAACTGCGTTGCAGAATTTGTTGTATATATTTGGATATTTAATTACTCACCAGTGGATAAAATTGCGGAAATTATGACAAATAGTAAAAGCTTCATGTTTGTTGATTTAATAAAAATTTAGCACATTTAAAAATAGTTTCCCTTTTTCTTTTGATTTATGTGAATTGAAAAAAATGATTTGTTACTTTAAAAGAATGAGAAGTGTTTCTTGAAAGGCGACACGAGGTTGTTTGATTCAAACTGTACACAATATACGTTTAACCGCGCTTTAGTGGCCTTCAGAAAGTCGATAGTAGTGGGAAGAATGATCACTCTACACAAAATGTCCCACTTTATCTAAATTCTTATTTTCATTTTCTATGGCTATTTTTATTAGATTTTTGCGTTTAGTAACTTAATTTTTTTTAGTAAAAGACTAATTTTTTAGTAAAAAGATAATTTTTTTAGCATAAAAATGTATTTTTTAGTTTAAAAAATACATTTTTAGTAAAAGTCTAATTCCATTTTTCTGAAATTAAAAAGTTTAATATTCAATATTTAATAGAAATGTTTAGGAAATAATTAAATTTACCTTTCTTTATAATACTAGAATATTATAATTATTTTTGTCTTGATTTGTAAAACTAATCATCGTCCATTTGCAACATAATTATGAGATATGTTGTTAAAGCTCCAAAAATCTAAAAAGAAAAAATTAGTTAATTACTTTTTTTTTTTGAAAAATGCGCTTATAATAATTTTTTATAAAGAGAATCTACCTTGTAGATAAAATGATAATTCAAGTCAATGAATCCATATAAAGAGATTTTAAGTTTCCTTTGAATTAATTGATGCGAGAATTTTATAATCTGAAGTTACAAAATTGAAGACAATTAAAATATTTGCAGAAAATTTAAATTTTAAACAAAAACGAAATTCTTTTTTGACAAATCTTACAGATTTTTGACAATTTGCTGGTCTGTAATATACCCATAATTTTAAAAGTGCATTTCCAGTGTTGTTTGCCTAAAAATAAAACAAAAATTAATGAAATTGGAATTATTTTAATTAAATTATAAATAAAGATCGTCCGCAATCAAGAATTAATTTTTTTAGAATAATAAATTTAATTTAATAAATTTAAATATTTATGATCAACAAATTTTGAAAGGTTAATTCAACAAAATATTTTTTATTAATAATATTTTCATAAATTTATAATTCTAATAAAAATTAGACTTAAATTTTTAAATTTAAAAACCTTATAATTAATTTTCTTGGTAGTGACGTAAAATTATTGTCAAAAAAATTTAATTTAAAGAAATAAATAATAAATAATATAATAATAATAAATATAATATATATAATATAATATATATAATATATAATATAATATAATAATAATAAATAATAAATAATAATAATAAATAAATAAATAAATTTTGTTCATTTGAACGTTCAGAACTCTGGGATCATAAATATTTTAAAATTAGTTTTACTGAAAACCGGAAATTTAATACTTTTTACTTTAAGAATTTAAAAAAATATAATATAAATTGATATTTAAATTTCAAAAGATTTCAAATTTAAATTTTTGAAAATTGCATAAAATTAAAAATTACGAAAAGCGTATTTTTTAAAATGAAATTTCCTTTTTTTTAAATAAATAATTGAATTTTTAAAACACTTTCTCAAAATTGCTAAAAAATAATTTATTTAGAGCGAAATTTTATATAAAAATTCCAGAAAATAATTAAATTTTGGAAGAATTAAGAAATTGTAATTTTTAGAAATTAATTAAATTTTAGAAGATTTGTAATTCTAATTTAAAAAAATTTTTATTCTTGTGCAAAAATAAAAAACAATAAGTATTCAAAATAATTTAACAAGGTAATTTAATTTAGAAATTCTTTAAAAATAAGAAGATTTCTAAAAATTGTAATTAAAATTTGTTCTAGAGAATTGAATTAACGATTTAATTAACTGAAATGTCAAACAATTGAAAATTTCGTCTAATTTTATTGAAATAAATTTTATATTTAGAGGAAATTTATTACAAGTTTGAAAAATAGCCTTCTGTTTGAAAGTAAAATATTATAAAATCGAAAAAAGTACCTATTTGAAAATAATTAAATTTCTATTATTTAAACAAAAAAAAAATAAAAGCATTATTATTATTATTATTGTTATTAATATTATTTTTACGTAATTTAATTATTGTAAGAAATTACCTCATAACAAATAGTTCCAGAAGCAAATGAGAGAAAAATAAATTCCAAAACAAGAACACTGATCCAAAGGGAACCATACATTGTTGCTAATAAATCACTTCTCTCGTGAACTTTAAAATCTGTTATAAATAAACAAAAAAAATAGGAATTCTTCACAACTTGTAAAAATGATATTAATAATGCCATTAAAGTAACAGGGGCAAAAAAATCTGTTATCATTTCACTGAGATCCATTAATTCGTCATGTAATTTACCAAAATAATTGAGAATCAATGGTAAAGAATTTAAAAAATGCGGAAATTCCCCATCACGTGATAATGATCTGAAAAAATTAAAATTAAATTGATTAATAATTAATTTTAAAAAATCTATATATTAATTATCATTGTAGATATTTTCAATTTTAAAATTAATTTACTAAAAACTATCAAATTGTTGCAAAGAATTTTATCAAAAAATTCGATAATAATAGAATTCCTTCGAAGAATTTTATTATTTAGGAAAATAATTGAATTCTCGCAAAGAATTTTGTTAAAATTTTTGAAAATTCTAATTAAATTCTTTTTGAAGAGTTTCTTTGAATTTTTCTTTAAATAATGAAGTTTTTTTTAATAATTTTAATTAAAAATTTTGAAATTAATAAAAATAAGAATAATTAATTAGTTAATAATTGAATTTTTTTAAAGTTTGAATCGGAAATTATTCAAAAATTCATATTTGAAAATAAAGAATTTTCTAAATTGCATAATTCAAAAATTTGTCCAGAACAAATTGAAAATTCAAAAATAAATCAAAAAAAATTTCGTACCTTTCACACAAGTGTTTCCTCAGAAAGATCACCGTTAATTTTGTTAAATTACTATTTAATTTATGAAATTGTCTCTCGAGTATATCCAAAGCAGTGATAAATAACGTAAATAAATTATGAATAACAATATGTGGAAATTCAAAGGGCACCCAAATAATCCACTTGAAAATTGGTGAAATCGATGAAAATGCAATTTTTGAAAAAAATAATCCACCAAAAATAATGTTTACACAAATAATACGTGTACATAGCATTTTGATATTTGATTGATTTTCATCTTTAATTCCCAATTTTCTAGCGATTCTGTCAGCTTTTTCAAAATTCTCGAAAATAAATATTATTCTCCTTTGACGAAATGCAAATATTAGCCAGGCAATGATTACTATTATAAATTGCATTCCATCAACGTATGTTGCAACTGTTGCGGCAATAAATGTTTCCATGGGAAAAACTGTTTCACTTCGATTAATTAATGCACGTGCATAAAAAATTGAGTATACAATACAGAGAATTAGTGAATAAATCGCCCCTGTATTTGAGATAATTAAATATCCATTTTTTCCCAACACGACTGGACACAAGCCGATGAGTTTTTCATAACAGAAAACTAATTTTACTAATAGGGAGAAATTTTTTTTCTTTGTGCTTATTCCCACCATTCTGAACAATTTAAACTATTGAGTCTTTGGAAGTTGTTCTTTTTTAAAAATATATGACAAATGACACTTGTGCTTTTAGTTTAATTAGTTACATCGATTGCAAATTAATATAATTTTTTTTCTCTTGTATTGATCACTCTTGTTTGAAAATCGATTTTGAGCTAGAAATTTTTTTCCATTCGACTAATTTATCAATAAGAATTTAAAACAACACTTAGGAACACTTTTAAATGTTTTTAAAGAGTAAATTAAAAATCCGGTTTGTTTATATTTTGAACATCGTAGCAAACAGATGTCACTTTTGCTTGGTCGGTAAAATCGGTCACTACTTTAGTTACAATCGCCAACTGGAAATTTTCTTCAAAGTTAATTTGTTTAGGTTTTCAGTTTAGGATTTTGTTGGAAATTCGAATAGATGAAAATTTGATCTTTTCTCGAGCTCATTTTTGAAAAAATGCAATTTTCTCGAGTTAATTTTTGGGAAATGCATCTTTATTGTTTGTTGAATATTTTGAATAACGCGCTAAAATTTCAACCAATGAGAGTCGTTCTCCAGTCAACGTCCATGTTACCAAACGAATGACGTCACGAAAAACCAAAATGGCGTCTTGAAATTTGACAGTCGGTTGTCAACAATCTCAAGAATAGCAACAAAAAAAGCAAAAAAAAGTGGTGATTGTTATACTAAGTGTATCTTTCATATATATACCTAACTCTTTATAAGTAAACACTAAAAAGAATAATTGTAACATAATTTTCACGTATTTGTTTCAAACCAACAGAGGAATATAATAAAAAGTATAATTTCTTTTTTGGTGATTATTTCCTTGACTTAAAGTAAAATTTAAGTTCAAGGCAAGAAGACTAGGTTCAAGGATTTAAAGTGGAATATAGTTTCTCTAAAAAATTCTCTTTTTTCATTTTACGAATCGTTTTTTATCATCAAAAAGAAATCATTTACAAATAATACATCACAACCATCGAAATTAACATTTTAATTTTTAAAGGTTATCTCTGTATGAGTATTTGTGTTTGCTTTTAAATATTATTTTATAATTTTATATTATGGTATACTGGATGATATTCAAGAAACGTTTCTTAAAGAGGTATCTTTTGTTTTTGTGTTATTTTAATTTTAACTCTAGGGAAATATTAACTAAAGTAAAAAGAAATTGACATTTGCATGCGATAAAATATTCACAAATGCAATTAAACTGCTTATTCATCGGAAATGCTGTTTGTTTTGATAGTTAATATAAAAATTTATATTTATTTTTAAAGTTAATCTTGGAAGAAAATTTTTCTTTCTTAAAAAAGATTTATTTACCATTTTTTTAACTTTCGAAACTGGAAGGCAATATTTTACTAAATATTTAGTAGAATTTTACTGGATATTTTTATTGAATATTACTAGACAATTTTCTTTTCCTAAAGATGGAAATTTCTTTTTTTCAAATCTTTATCTATTTTCACGTGAGTTTGTTTTGGATCACGCAGGTCAATTTATTACGCAAACGTTAATTCTATAATTAAATTTCTACTTGCAACAAAGTATATAAGAACCCAAGTTTAAAATTTTCTTTTATAGTCAAAAAATGAATTTAAAATACAAAAGGTAAAATAAAATATATATTTTTTAACGAACTATTAAAAGTTTATGTTTTTAAAATTAATACTAACATTAGTTTTAGAACTTGGTTAATATTCATTGTATACTATTTTTAAATTAATAGGGGGAAAAAAATGTGGAATTAGTTTCATTTGACAAAAGGAAATAATATTAGTCATACGCCTCAAAACAAAGTAACATTTGAATTTTTCTCTGATAAACGCTTTGCAATTGCAAATAAAAGGAATTTTTTTTTCTCGTCTCATGACAGTAGACATTGAACTAAATTTAGTTTTACAGCTTTTTAAAGAAAGACATTCGAGAAAGGCTCATTTTAAAGAAAACGGTGCGGTGATTGTGGGTTTTTAATTCCTCACACCAATTTTTGTTTAAACTAACAAAAATGCGGGCTGGTTATTTCTTATTAACTCCAATGTTACCTCTCATTGCTGCTGATGTTTGGCATAATGGAATGTAAGTTTTTTTTTCATTGTTTGTGTTTTCGTTTCATTAACATTTTCTTTACTAAAAAAAAGGTGAAATTAATAATAAAAATTAGAAATCATAATAATTATTTTTCCGGAATTATTCACGAAATAATAATAATAATAATAATAATAATAGTTTTAATTAAAAATAATAATACAATTTATTTTTGTAATTTAATTTTTATTAATTCAATTTAAATTTAATTGTAAGAATTACAATTTTTTCAATGTTTCTAATTTTATTTTTACCCATTTGTTTATAGGAAATTATTTATTTACATTTTCTGGTTGTAAACAATTTTATTATTTTAAAAAAAATAATTTTTTGCTAAAAAATATTTAGATTTATTGTAAATTAATTAAATTAAACATCTTAGAAATAACTCGGGTATTTAGAGTTTAAATGTAAATGTAAAAGGAATGATTCATAAAATTATCGAATATGACATGTTAAAAACTGTAAAAATGCTGTTCACTATAGAACACCTGTAAAATCGATTTGCATTTGCGCACTGTCTCGAGCAAATAATATTAAGCCGGTTGATGTATAGAAAATTGGGATAGTCTTTTTTTTCCATTATTATCATTATTATTATTATCATAATTATTAACTAGAGAAAATCATCTCTTAAGAAATAAAAAGAAAAAAATTATTATTGACATAAATGTCAAAAAAGAAGAAGAAACAATATCATAATATTCAAAGTCTTCATAACACCTTAAATAATAATGTTCGTGCAACAAAATTGAATACAAAAATAAATGAGGTGTCGAAGAAGAAAAAAAAGTTGAAGAAAGAATTATTAAACAAAACGTAAGAATATTGGAGTAATTAATAAAAGAAATAGATAGTAAACAGTTTCTTTTTAGTGTAGAGTAAATTATTCTTTTCTCTCTCTTTTTGCTATACGCATTATTTTAAAGTAGTTAGAAATATTTTATTATGGATTATTTTGAGAAATGGAGTATTTTCTTTTACGATTAGTACTTTTAGATTTCTTTGTAATGATTATAGTTGGAAAAATTATGGATAGATGAAAAAAAAATTTTTAGTAGCACAGAAAAAAAATTGTAGCACTTTATTCTATTGCTTATTTTAATATTTATTTTTTTTTTTGTAATTAGTTGGATTTTAATTAGTAAAAACTTTTTTCTTTTTGCAGACTTTTACTATGGACTATTCAGACGTCAATAATTGTTTACGTGATAGTGTTTGGTCTGCTTCCTGTGATATTTCATTACTCATACACAATTCAACGGAAAATTCTCTTCTTAAATTTTGGTAAATATTTTATCGTATTTTAATTCTTTTATTTCGATATGAGTTTTTTTTCAACTTACAAATTACGATTAATTTTCTATAAATTTTAATTTTAGATTATAAATTTTTTTTTATTTTTTATTTATTTTTCAATTTTGTTATTAACTTTTGTTTTTAATTCTGTTTTTTAATTTTGTTTTTGAATGTTGTTTCTAATTCTATTTTTAAATTTTATATTTAATTCTATTTTTTAATTTTGTTTTCAATTTTGTTTTAAAATTTTATTCATTTCATTAAATTTTGTTTTAGAATTTTATTTATTTCATTAAATTTAGTTTTGAATTCTGATTTTAATTTGGTTTTTGAATGTTGTTTTTAATTCTATTTTTAAATTTTGTATTTAATTCTATTTTTTAATTTTGTTTTCAATTTTGTTTTTAAATTTTATTTATATCATTAAATTTTGTTTTTTAATTTTATTTAATGTTGTTTTTAATTTTGATTCTAAATTTCGTTTTGAAATGTTTTTAAATTCTGTTTTTCAATTTTGTTTTTAATTTCGTTTTTAAATTTTAATTTCAATTTTGTTTTTAACTCTGTGTTCAAATTTTGTTTTTAAATTTTATTTATTTCATAAAATTTGGTTTTTAAATTTTATTTATTTCATTAAATTTGGTGTTTAATTCTGTTTTAAATTTTTTTTTCGAAATTTCGTTTTTAAATTTTGTTTTTAATTTTTTATTTTAATTTTGTTCTTAATTTCATTTCTAAATTTTATTTATTTAATTTTGTTTATAATTATGTTTTTAAATTCTATTTTTAAATGTTCTTTTAAATTTTATTAAAAAAATTTGTTCGTGATATTAAAATAATTGTTAGAAGCAGAAGGACTACCGTTCAATTTAGATGGTAGTTTGATTAAGTTCGATTTTCCATTAAGCTGATAATCTTAGATGGAATCTATTCTTTCGTGGTTAAGAGTGTAAAATTATTTTATTACAGTTCATTGGCCACTGTCTATCGACTTTTCGAATCCAGAGGCTATTGGAATTCAAGGAGCTCGAAATTTTTATCTCACGACTGATGAAGGCGTTAAAATAGGCGCATGGTAATTAAATAATCAATTTTTATTTTTTCCTAAAATCTTTAACGTTTAAAGGAATTTTATTGAATTTTTAAAAATTTTCTTTTAGAGAAACAAAGAAACAATTTTTATTTTTTTTTCAGGCAAGTTTTACCGAAATCTCTATTGAATCAAAATATCAGTAAGGAAGCCTATGAGACGGTTTTAAAAAATGCAACATTACCGGTAATTTTATACATGCATGGAAACAGTGGAAATAGAGCGAGTAGTCATCGAGTTGAATTGTACAAGTTATTCCAAAATTTGAATTATCATCTCGTTTGCTTCGATTATCGAAGTAAGTATTCATTTACGAAAATGTAATAGATAAACAAAAATTTAAGGGTATTTTGTATTTTTTAATATTAATTTTTCTCTTCAACAGGTTATGGTGACAGTGAAAATGCCGATCTTTCGGAAATGGGAGTGGTGACCGACAGTAAATTTGTTCTCGAATGGATTATAAAAACTGTAAATGGTTCGGCTCCAGTTTTTGTATGGGGGCATTCTTTAGGAACTGGGTAATTCTTTTTCTATAAATAATAAATATATAAGTAGGCATTTCTATTTTTCTACATAATAATAGAATTTAAATAATTATTTTATGTTTATTCTATAAAATAAAATAATTATTTAAATTTATTTCACGTTTGTATTTCTCTATATAATAGAATTTAAATAATTGCCTCTAAAGTTTCGAACTTTTAAATAAACCCGTGATATTTTTATTACTTCTTCAAATTTGAATTTTACTGCAAAATATTGTTTTTTACAATAAAAAATTTTTTTAACTAAATAATAATTTTCAGTGTTTCAACTCACGCTCTTGCGTTATTAGCGAATGATGAAAACCAACCAGCAGGACTTTTTTTGGAATCGCCTTTTAATAATATAGCATCGGAAATTAGTGAGCATCCTTTAGCGCAGGTATAGAAAAATAAATCTTACAATTATTAAATAACAGGAAGAAAATTAATTAGCAATTTATATAGTTTTTAGAGTTTTAGACGTTTTATATTTTATAAATTATATTGTATAAATTTTGGTGAAATTTATGGATTTTTCTGTCTCTCTCTTTTTTTTAGATATTTAAACATCTACCATGGTTTCAATGGGTGATTGTTCAGCCTTTTTACGATAATCATTTGCGATTTCAATCGGACCAACATATAACGAAAGTAAAGTGCCCTATTATGATTTTACACGCTGAAGATGATAATGTGGTTCCATTTTCCTTAGGAGAGAAGGTAAAATTAAATGAAATACTTCTTTATTTGTAATTATAATAGTTTATAATATTTTCTGTTTTTACTATTTCTTTTTTATTTTCACAGCTTTTTGAATCTGCTTTAAAATATCACGGAAACACAGAACAAGTTCAAATGATTCGCATAAACGCTTCTCATGGACTTGGACATAAATATATATGTCGATATGCGGAATTGCCAGAAATAATAGAGTGAGTTACAATTAATTTATTAGTTTAGTCAATAAATTAATAATTACGATTATTATAAATTATATTATATAAATTATTTGAAAATTATTTAATATTAATTAATATTAATATCTATTAATATTTAATATATTCAATTAATTATTACTTCATTAATTAAATTAATAATTAGGTAACTATTAATTTAAAATAATAAATTCATTATTAATTAATAAAGTGATAATCACGATTGTTGTAAACTATAGAAATTATCAATTAATATTTAAGATTAATTAATATTGATAACTATTTATATTTAAAAATTCCTACTGATAATTTTATTCATTTTCAGGAAATTTGTTTCTTCAGTTAGTAAAAATTAGGAAAATTTTATTAAACTAGAATAATTCTTTTTTTTTTGAAAAAAAGTCTTTGAAGGAAATTTTTAACCAAAGAACTGAACTTAAAATTAAAACGAACAAAATAAGCAAAAAAAAAGACAAATTTTTGTCTTTATTTCTTAGTTTTTAAAAGGCTATTTTTGTACTTTAAGGCATTTTTTTATGTTCACAATGATATTATTCTCTTCTAAATTTAGGAAAAATACAAAGAAAATGATTTTGTAACTATTTATTTGATAATAGACTATTCTTAAAATACTGCATTTTATAAATATATTATAACAATACACTTATAAAGTAAACAATTTATTTAATAAAAAAGTAAGGAAGGAAATCTAATTGTCAAATTTTTTTTCATTAAAATAATTGTTTTCGAACCTTTTTGATATTCATTTTCAAAACAATTTTTACAAGTTTTTTTGCAGTTACTTTTTGAATTAATAATTTTTTCATAATGTTAAATGAATAGTTAATATTTTTAAATTTATACTTTAGATTATTCACATTTGTCAATTACATTTTTTCTTAGCTTAGATTTTGTTAAACTTATAACTTATCAGGGCCGAATGACCTCCACCTTGCTACATGTTCGAATTATCGGCAATTCGGATCTTTTGTTTTACATACATAGTAATCTGGATTATAACGTAGAACGCACCTTTCTTTAACAAAAATATTATAATAATTAATTATTAGCGATTCAAAAATAAACAAATTATTTTGCTTCTTAATTTAAACAAATACTTACCATAACAGTATTTAGCATGACGAGGGTACTTTGCAAGGCAGCTTTCCAATCCAACATAACAAGTTCCTAAAAATTAAATATAATAAATGCATAAAGAATTTCCTTTATAAACAAATATTTAATCATTATTACTTTTTCAATTATTACAAAGAGCTTTATTAAAATTTTTGAAAATAATTGAATTGATACGAAGAATTTGAATAAAATTTATTAAAATAATTGAGTTCTTTGCAAGCTTGCAAAGAATTTTATTAAAATTTACAAAAATAATTTAATTCTTACAAAGAATTTTATTAAAATTTGCCCAAATAATTGAATTCCTCACGTGAATTTTATTATTTAAAAAAATAATTGAATTCCAGTAAAAATTTTATTATTTATGAAAATAATTGCATTAATGTGAAGAAATTTATGAAAATTTGAAAATAATTGAATTCTTTTATGGGCCAGTCGGTGAGTGCAAAAAGTGCACAAAAATGCAACCTGAAAAGTCGAAGCAGTTTCTTGTAGTTCGAGGGCCCCAAATAAGAGCCCCATAGTTTGCATCCGATTTCCGGTTGTGAAAAATGGTGTAAACAATCGTCAAAGTTCGAAAAACATGGTTTTTCGATGACTGTTGTCTTCGGGGCCGTTCATAAACTACGTCACACGATTTTGCATAATTTTTCCACCCCCCCCCCCTACCCACGTCACAAATTTTACATGCTTTAGCGCCATTTTTTCTATAGAACGTCAAAAAAAAATGAATTCCACCCCCCCCCCCCCTCTAAGGCGTGACGTAGTTTATGGATGACCCCTTCCGGTTAAATTTTAAGTTGAATCTCCAATAAGACAAGGTGCGCATCGATGTTCATAGCTATACGTATACATACGAAAGGGGCCGCCCATAAATTACGTAAGACATTTAGGGGGGTAGGGGGGGGGTCAGCAAGATCTTACGAACAATAGGAAAAATGGCGCTAATGTATGTAAAATATCTTACGAGGGGGGAGGGGGGGGTCAAATTTACCCAAAAAATGTCTTACGTAATTTATGGACAGCCCCGAAGCGCCTACGTGCCACGAGGCAAAGAAGGAAACCTGTTTCTGGTAATGTCGTTTTAGCTTGTGAAACATAGGAACACGTTCGATGGTCTTCTTGGTTCGCTGATTCGGTGGTTCGATGATGTGATTATGTTACTAAATAAAAAATTTAAAATAAGAAATAAAAATGAACCAAATTAATTCAAATCGACAATTTTAATGTAATAAAATATTTTTTAGATATTATTTATAACAGATATTAATTACGAGGCAAATTAGGTGCTTTAAAAAAATCATATATTTTGAGGTTATAAAATGTGTTATGAAAAAGTAATGGAAAAAGGTCAACATTAGGCCCAATTGATTAGGCCTTAAATGTGATAACATTTTATAACCTCAAAATATATGATTTTTTTTAAAGCACCTAATTTACCTCGCAATTAATATCTGTTATAAATAATACCTAAAAAATATTTTATTACATTAAAATTATCAATTTCAATTAATTTGGTTCATTTTTATTTCTTATTTTAAATTTTTTATTTAGTAACAATCACAACATCGAACCACCGAACCAGCGAACCATGGAACGTGTTCCTATGTTTCACAAGCTAAAACGACGTTAGCAGAAACAGGTTTCCTCTCTTTGCCTCGTGGCGCGTAGGCGCTTCCGTATATGGGTAGTTCTACAAACGAGGGAATATATGATGTCCAAGGTTTTTTTTACATTAATTTTGAAAGAAATAAAATTATTTTCAATGGGAACTGTAGTACTTAATGATTACTATTATGCCACAAAACGTTACCCGGTTTCAAAAAATATTTTTTGCAAAAAATAAGCATTCAAGTGCTAAATTCTCAGTTTCCTGGCATGTCCCAATGTGAAAATGAAAGTTAATAAATTATATAAATATTATTTTTAAGCGATTAAATACAAATTTACACTTTGATAATAATTTCAAATAGTTGTACTTTACAAAGATTAAAATAATTGTTACATTACTTGATATTTTATTTAAAAAATATTATCTTGAATTTTGCCCATCGAATTAATTCTCAGTTTCCTGGCATCATAAAAAACGTTAAAATTATTAAGAATTTTCATTTCGATTAATTTACCATTTTTCACAGTGCTTAGTAAAGGTTAACTAAATATGATATTACTTGCATTTTACTTAAGTTGCAGTTCAATTAACTAAAATTGTGTACTTTGTGACCGAAATGGCCATTTGGTCAGACAAATTCTCAGTTTCCTGGCACGCATTTTTAAAAAAAATATTTTATGTTTTTATACTTTTGTTGTTCTAGGTGTCGTAGAACCTTATTCCCTGTTGACCAGTATGCTTTCTTTTGTTATTAAGCATTATTTTTCAATTTTTTAGACGAAAAATGACCAAATTCTCAGTTTCCTGGTTCTCAGTTTCCTGGCACTTTCTGACAGAATACACATGTGCTTAAGATGTAAAATTTACAATTTTTATTTTTTTGACTGGCCACTTTTAGGTAACTTTGATAATACTTTTAACTTCAATCTAACCTACTTTTTAAAACCTGAACGTAAAAAAAATATTGTGCCAAAATTTTCTTCATTTTCGTCCTTCGTTTGTAGAACTACCCATATACTAAAGTATGCTGTGGTATATCTATAGCTATGAACATCGATGCGCACCTTCTCTCACATTGGAGACTCAACTTTAGGGGAAATAGTTGTGATTGAAAGTTATAGAGCTTGGAAATAGCTTTCAAATGATTGGTCGCAAGTTAAAAAAGGTTAATTAGTTTAGTTGCAAATGAATTTAAACCATTAAAAATAGCACTTTCTTAATTGTTTTAATAACTTTGTAAATAATTATTGAATTTGTTCATAACTTACCAGGAATGTTGTCCTTGCGAAGCTGAATAAATTTTTAAAAAAAATCAACTCGATCGGATAAATAGTTTATGTTTTATTCCATTTGTTAGCTAAAAACATGTAATTTTTCAACGGAATTTCCCCACTTTTGGACCTGCGAATTTCGGTTTTTTTTCTTGGAGAGTATTTTTTATTATATTGAACAAAAAATTTTCTTCGTACATATTATTCCATTAAATTTAAAATAACATTATGTCAAAAATAATCGAAAATTATTTGCCTGTAAGCATGTAGCATCTAGCATCGAGTAAACATATGAACGCCGCGTTTAATACTTACACGTGGCGGTGCCGATGTATCGGGTCCTACAAAAGTAAAAACAAGGAACATACCTTTACCATGTTTTTAGCTAACAAATGGAATAAAACATAAACTATTTATCCGATCGAGTTGATTTTTTTAAAATTTATTCAGCTTCGCAAGGACAACATTCCTGGTAAGTTATGAACAAATTCAATAATTATTAACAAAGTTATTAAACAATTAAGAAAGTCAGGGTGGCCGCAAGATTGACTTTATCAATTTCCCTGACATTTTACTGACATAACAACGAATTTCCCTGACAAAAATTTTTTTGTTTAGAGCAAAAAATGTATTGCATGACCGTCTTAATTTCTTTAATTGCCCTGACAAAAAAATTTTTCCTGACATTTCCCTGACTTTACTAACAAAAAATTTTTTTTCCTGACATTTCCCTTCTTCTTTAATTGCCCTGACAAAAAAATTTTTCCTGACATTTTCCTGACTTTACTGACAAAAAATTTTTTTCCTGCCATTTCCCTGACTTTACTGACAAAATATTTTTTTCCCTGACATTTCCCTGACTTTACTAACTTTACTGACATGTGGCCACCCTGAAAGTGCTATTTTTAAGTGCTTATTTTGTAATTATTATTAATTTATTATTTAACTTACGGGCTGCAATGAAACGATCTCTGGTATAAAACACTGAAAATTAAGAAAAAATGATTATTAAAATTTATTAAACTTTATTATTAATTATTAAATTTTATTTTTAATTCTAAAAAACTCATATTTTTTTGAAAACTCTCTCATTTATAATTATTAATAAAATTTACCTTGTATTCTATTATCCCTCCTGAATCTAGACCCACGAGATTGTCCTTCACAAAAATAAAACAAACAACAGAAAATAAACAGAGCAAGAATTGTAAAACGCATTTTTAAATTCTTATTTATTTTTATATTAAAATACGAATCAATAATAATTATTTTTTAATCAAATTTTAATTCAACTTCTTCTTCTTCTTAAATGACTTTAGGCTTCTGTCAGAAATTAAGAATTAAACGTGTCCATGAAAAGAAGACTAGAAAT